TATTCCCCTTTTTTTTTTTTTCCTCCTTTTCTTTTCTTTACTTTTTTTTTTTTTTTTTTTTTTTTTTCTGGCTCTTCCCGCAATTCCGTTACGATCACACCATAATTTATGCAGTACAACACCCTAGCCTCCGCTGGTCGATAGTTCCAGGAGATCCTTGCTTTTTTGTACCCACCTCAGGCCTGAGGGGAGAGAGGAGTATGACAGGGCAGGCATCACACAGAGAGAGAGAGAGAGAGAGTTTCTGCTATCCCTAGCTGGTAGACCACGAAGATAGACAGATAGAACAGATGACAGATGAGATTGCGCGGGCTACGGTGGCTCTGCTGGCTCTGCTGGCCCTGCTGGGCTGCTGGCCGGCGGAGTTCTGGCCGGCCGTCAGCCCAGTTGCGCCGCCGCGCCTCCAAGCATCAAGGGCGATCGAGTGCAAGCCATGTTCCGGCCGCGACCGGGCGGGAGCTGCCCGCGGAGGATCATTGTTCCGGAGCTGCGAGACACGGCCAATCGGTGTAGGTCGCGCTAAGCCCTACCGGGGCTAGTAGGTACGGCGCGCTAGGCCCAGAACGGCATCGCCCCCATGTGCAAAAATCGACCCAAAAAAAGCAAGCGCGCCCACCTTTCCCGACACAGAAGTCCCCCCCCCAAGAGGAAGGAACCAACCGGGCCCCCAGTTGCAAAGTCAAGGAAACTGCCCCAAATTTTTACTTTTGGGTGACAGGAACACAAGACTCAATCTGACATCAACAACTGCAACGGCTTACTCTCTTCCACTCCTCCTCTCCTCTCCTCTCCTCTCCTCTCCTTCTCGTCCTCCTCTCTCCTTTTCTCTCTTCTCTCTCTCTCTCTCTCTCTCTCTCTCTTTTCTCTCCCTCTCTTCTTCCTCCATCCCATCTCCATGTCCGCCTTGCATAAAGCCAGCCTCGCACACCCTCTTCCCACTCCATTTGACTCTCCATCACTCTCCAATTAAAAAAAAAAAATATACTTGACCCCACAACCGTCACAACACGTCATTTTTTATTTTTTTCTTTTTATTTGTTTCGGCGCCTTTCCCTCGCTGAGCTGGCGTTGTCAGTCGTCCGCTGTCGGTGCAAGCTGCCGCACCGGCTCACGCAGTCGTGATGGCACTCTGGCCCTTCGGAAAGAGGAAGAATCGTGCTTTCAGACGATCTGATGGAGCATCCAGCCCGTCATCCGCTCAGAGAGCTGCCTCCTTCTCCTGTACCGCCAAATCTGAGTCCTCGATCCCGAACCACAACGCCTCTGCTACACCCGTAAAGACCCACCGAAGAGACTCCAAGCGGCGGAAGAACCGTCGTGACCAAGGTGCAATCGGCGGTGAGGACTCCTGCCTTCCTCCTCGCCAGATCACCACCCCGTCTCCCGTTCCGTCCCCCGACCTCGGCACGAGCCCGTCCTTCCACTTCTCTGCCCTGGCCCGCCCCGAACGCGTCGACTCTCCTTCCGTCCGCACCTTCTCTCCCTTCAGGTTCCAGCCCAGCCTCAACATGTCCCAGAACAGCTTGTCCAGAAGCTTCAACGATGTCCCGACCCTGCGAAGTCAGAGGCGCTCCACAGAACCGAGCCTCTTGCGCCGCAAGTCAAGCAAGCGCAAACGTAACGACTACGCCCGAGAACAGGAAATTCGGAACATGGCCCTCGAGAGCAATTGGGACTTACCCCCCGGTAGGGCCCAGACCGACCTGAGAGCTTCGCGCCCCATGTACGAACGCCTGCGATCCATATCCCCAGATTCCCACGCATACAAGCTCAGTGTCTTCGACGCATTGTCTCCCCGTCCTGTCTTACGCTATGCACGGACTCCTCGATACGTAGATCCTTCGAGGTCCGCGGCATCTAAGAGCAAGTGCAGGGCTTTGCGACTCGGAGACCTGGATGGAGAACACCGGATAAACGAACTTGCCGATGATATGGACGCGGGGACTCTAAGGGAGCTTATGGAAAGAGATCGTCGTAGGAGGGCGGCGAGACGAACCGCTTGTCCCACGGTCAAGCTCGAAAACCCCCCGAAACCACGTCGACAGCATTCAATGAAGCATAACCATCCTCCTCCTTCGAACAACCACGAAACAAATATCGACACAGCGATGACTAATCGGAAACATGATCAGATGGAGTTGTCGAAGACGCCGAACCATACTGAGTCTTGGCTCCGGGACCCTTCCAAAGAAAGCTTTACCGCAAATGCAAATGACGAAGTGCACGAGAAGAAGCCAACGGTGGAGGAAACCCAGATCGTCGCCGACGATGAAAAATCCTTTGTCCACGTTTCGGCAATCGACGCCGCCGCCGATATCAAACACGAACTCGCCGGGCAGGAGATGGGCTCCGTCTCGGATATATCACCAACGCAAAAAAGTGAAAAGCGGCTGTCCTCAAATGCTGGCCGCATCGGTCGATCCCTCTCATCATTCTTTCGTCGTGGCTCTCGGTTCAAGAGAGAACCTCAAGGACAACCGAAAGAAGGCCCAAGCTTTTCGGTCCCGTCCCGAGAATCTTTCTCAAGGATCTCCCATACGGAAGTTGCGGGAATGCCGCCGGCGATCCCGAAAAAGAGCAGCCTCCGATTTGACGGACAGTCTATGCAGTCCAGGTTCACCGAGCACTTCGATGAGCCCATGGATAACATGCGTTCCCCGACCGCGATCGATATATACCCCACATCACATCGATTTAGCGTTTGCACTGGTAGGGGAACTGTGGCGACTGCCCCAATCGAAGCCCAGGACACATTCCGCGCATCCAGAGCAAACAGTCCAGATACACGTCCCAACAGCATTTTCCTAGCTCAGTCCCTAGCATCCATAGACTCGGAGGGCAGTTGGCTCTCAGGAAAGCCGTCTCGTCACCTTTCCCAGGCACGGTTAGCCCAATACCGTGGCAGCGCAGAATCCAAGGATGATCCAACCGAATCATCACCAGAGGAACGTCCCGCAAGCGATGAAATTCTCGGACCCCTTTCTATTCCTGTCCCTGAAGAAGAGGAGGAGTTCGAGATCCCCGTCAGCGGCAATGCTAAACCCCAAGACAATGACGGGACGACTTGGCATGACAGCGTTGGAAAGCGACCGCGTCTCATTCGTCCTTGTACTCGAGCAAAATCCAAAGAAGGATTGTTTACTGAGTTCCTCGAAAGCGCTTCAGAGGTCGACACACCCTCGGACGACAGTCCGCTCGACATCGAAGCGGAAATGGAAGTCCATCGTGCCACCAGCGTTGACCTGGGAAAAGGTCATACACGTCACATCAGTGCTGGAAGTGCAAAGCTTTTAGACCTGTCTTCTCGCCTATCCGGAGATCGAAGACCAAGTTCAGGGACTTTCAGCAGCGGTGCCCTACCGTCGCCACCACTTAGCCAATAGAACGAGCAAGTTGAATCATAGTACTGGAGACGAATATTGCAACTTACCCTGATCTGACGTCCACTCCTTCCCACCCATTTCCTTTGTTAGTTACGTCGAAATGTCGTTTTCCTAACGCCCTTCTTTCTCTTCTTCATGCCCCGTCCGATACGTCGAATACGTGACCCACGCTCCTTTGGCATATCATTTCCTTTGTCATACAAGAGAGGAAAAAACAAACAGAAATAAAATCGAAAGTCAGATGAGTAATGATGACCTGGATATCAAGCCGACCAACGTTAGTGGCCATTGCTGCATCGTCAGATCGGCTTCTTACCCAGGATGTTCAGCTCCAGCTGTTCTGCCAGCTTCGATTCCGGGTCTTTTGATTTTAAATTTGTCCTTTTTGCATTTGATAATATGGGGTTTGATCGTCTTTTTCTGTTTGTTGAACTGCTGTTTCTTCATTTGTCATTTCGGGTTATGATAGGTTAGGCAGAACGGCCCATGGTTTGCATTGGAAGAGCACGGCGTTATGCGGTGCCTAGAGAGGAAAAAAAACGTGAAATACCCCAGCGAGCCCTCTTCCAAATCGATTCTTGTGCGTTCTTCGTGGGCCACGGCGTTCAGTCTTGTCCTCATTTGCTAAGTTTTCTTTCGATATTCAACGAGCCTGGGTCGAGGGATGGCACTCCAGACGGGGAGATGGCCGCGGATGGCCTGGCAGAGGGATGGAGGAAGTCTGAGAGAAAAAGAAAGAGCGCAGAAGCTGAGGCCGAGAAGGAGGGCGCTTTTATATGTGTTCGTCTGCCCAGGCAGCGGTGGCTCGGCGGCGGCAAATATGGAAATTCACCCGCCGCAGTGTGTGACTGACCTGCCTGTTTTGACGAAAACAACCAGCCGCTCTCTTTCTGGTGTCTTCACCTGCCCGCCCCTTGTTTTGCGGCTGTTCTGGCCGTTTTGCTTGTGTCCCCCGGATACGATACCCGCCTGTGCTTCCCACTGGCTGTCTCAGTTGTCACCTGTAATCACGCTTGCTCTTCTCTTCCTCTTCCTCTTCTTCCACTACATCCCCAGTCCTTCTTCTGAGTTTTTTTTTTTTTTTTTTTTTTTCTGCATCAACAGAGCAGTGGAGTTGCCTGGGCAGTGATATCTTGTGTTTTCTTCTATGTTTTCTTTTATCAAGATCTCTTTCATGAGACTAGCAGGGCACAGAAAGATTATCTTATTTGTTTTGCGACAAACCACATAGCACACATATTTGCAATCAATCTACGTTTGTCCTTAGCTACTGTTTTGTTGCAATCACCAGATCAGAACCAGCTATGACAGCCTGACCTCTTTCTATTACTTTAAGCACATTCCGCATCCAGAAAAACTCCAGTGTCTCTCTTCGCGAAGGGCTGGTGATTGACAACATAACCTTCATCATGGGGCGCTGTGATCTCTGCTGTATCTGCAAATTGCCCATTGGCGTCACCCCGTATATCGAGACAGACCAAATTGACTGGGAGAGAGTGGCCTGGTGGAATCACTGCAGATTCAGTATGTTTATGGCTCATAAATTAGATCTCCCCTTTCTTCTTGCCCCTTTCTTTTTCTTAAAAGCTTAAACCAAAAGTATTTTCCCGTCCTGACATGAATCTAGTCAATCTACCCGGTTCACCTCCCGACTACGAGGTCTCTGAAGCTTGCTACTCCGAAAATGGATGTGCATACGACAGTCTGAAATACGAGCCGAGCGACCACGAGGTGCCGACGGACAGCTCGCGTAAGACGAATCGTATGGGCCGGTACCTCGTCTGGTGCCAATGCGTCCCAGGCACTCCGTGTCGCGCCCCCGAGCCACACTGCTACCAGATGCACACCTTCTGCTGGAGCTTCTTGAATAAAGTTTTGGGGTCGCGCGTGGAGAATAATATGGATACCCTGCTCGAGAGCATTGAGGTCGTCTGGGAGCAAGGGACAGCAGCAGCAACGACAACAAGCGACACGCCTTCCGCCGACGACGAGAGCGGTCAACAGCAGCATTGCCTTGAGGTTCCGCATTCGGGGAGTTTCCCGGGGACTCTGTCGATGTTCGGCGTGCCGTCGAGCAATCCTGCGCTTGAGAGGCTGATCGATCATTGTCGAATTGACAGCGACAGTTTGAGCGAGAAAGAGGCGAGCAGCGACGACGAGGTTCCTCCGCGCCAGCGACGTGGTAGCTTCGGTCGTCCTGGCAGGTTGCCCGTAGAGTTACAGCTGACCGTGCTCGATTTTCTTACGGACATCGCGGATATCGGCAATGCGGTGGCTGCGTTTCAATGGAGCGTGTCAGGTTCGTACCTCAGACGCCGGTTTCCTTACAAGGCGATCTACGAGTTGGACGATATCTCGACAGACGAGCTGGACTGGTCGGCGTTTATTATTGGATTTAACGAGCTTCTCATGGATCCGTCGTGGGGTATACGCCATCGGTTGCGCATCTTTAAGATTGTGTGCAGCATTCGCGACAAGTTTCTCGAGCTTGAGCTCGAGAGTGATAAGAGCGAGTGAGCAGGACAGAGTTGAATGTTAGGGGAAAGATGAGACACCATTTGGAAACTCATTTCTGGTTGCAATTTTTTTTCTTTTTTCTTTTGTTTGCAGCTCTTCCTCTGTGGAGAAAAAATGTTGACGTGATCTGGTGGGCTCTGGTTGGTAGTATCTCTGAAAGATTCTGTGTTTGTGGTTGTCTTTTTAATTATTCTCTTGCACAATATTCCTCTCTATTTGTGGGTTAGAAAAGAAGACAACCAATTGACAGAAGACGTGGTTGGCCTCTACACTACATTTGTTTGTAAAGCTGCCTTGGACAAATCCACTATCCTAATGCGATTAGTGTAAAGTTCGTGGGATCCAAAAAAAAGATATCCCCGAAGTGCGTCGTAAATCATGTAATAAGTAGGCAGGGGCATACCTATTGCTATCAAGCGCGAGAATGTTCAGTTTCCAGTAGATCTAGCTTGCAATCTGTTTGACGACTGGCTGCGCACTGAAATAAATAACTTCTTAGCGACAGCCGCTAAATTGGGCTAGAATGAAGGGACCCGGCGCAGTGATGGGTTAAATAGCCAGTAATTCTTTTCCCCCCCGCGGCGAGGCCCGTAAACCATCGCATATAAAGTCTGTATGACTCCTCCATGCTTTTCTTAGTAGTGTTCCTTGACATACTTCATACAATATTGAGTCGCTCGATGACAGGCGCAGTCTGGACTCCGAGGAGATTTTTGACTTTGGGGGGAGAAAAACCTGTAGGAGAGCCGGACAAGGATGGGAGGGAGCAAAAATGCCAGAGCAGGTTGCATATGGTATGTAAGGTTAAGATCCGATCAAGGGGGGAGGGTTGGGATGGTTTTGCTCAACAAGCAAAAAGATCGTTGCCAGCGATCGGCAAGCTGTCATTCTAATTCTAATCTTATTCTCTGTTTCCTGCGATATTCTTTTCGCCGGTTTCGGGCTCTGCAATTATTTTTTTTTTTTTTTTTTTTTTTTATTTTTTTTTTTTTTAAAGCACGACGCCGGTAACCAAGCAGGCAGGTAGCTCGGGATCCGAATTCCCCTCTTTTCGACCCGGGCAAGTTCGCTCGACCTCGTGTCTGAATTGGCTTGGTGCTCAAGGGGCCATCCCTGCAACCAGCAAGCAACGCAAGCTGGCAAATGGTGCTGCTGGGGCCGGCGAGTGATGGGATATCCGGGAAGGGCTCGACGCGCCCTTCCTCCAGCTTCACCTCCTCCTCCAGCTCCGACTCCGATTCCGACGGGCTTGGTTCCAAGGAACGCCAACGCCTCCGGACCGGATTGAACCTCTCTCTCTCTCTGTCTCATCTGAGTCGGATTCTTCCCCCCCGGACACCGTGAACGGAGCTGCTCGCTTGCTTGCCTGCTGTGCCGCGGCGATCGACAGCTGCGCCATCACGTGGGCGACGAGATCGGCTGCAACAAGCACTCTTGGCGAGCGAGTTGCTGGGAGGCATTTTTCGGGGGGAGAAGAAGAAGAAGAAGAGGAGTATGGTACGTCGAGAGTATCCCTGGTGGCTTTATATTTACACTCGGAATGCACGCTCGCGCATGGCCACTCTAGCTGGGCCGGCATCAGGGCCAACTTACTAGGAGAGAGAGGGGGCTTGAGAAAGGCGTCGCTCGGCCCTCAACGGCTGGCGAACATTTAACAAGGCGTCCGATGTCCTTGCAAGGGGAGGAGGAGGAGGAGGGGGGACGGCCCAAGGACACGATACCAAATTCCCGCTAATTAGTGATTTTATTCAAACGGACGGGAGAAACTGGGGCGTTTTCTTGCTTCCACCGGTGTTCGATGTAACCATGAACCGCCGCCAAGGTCATCCATGGCACACTCTCTCTCCTCTCTCTCCATTCTCTTCTGTGTCTCTGTCTCTCTCTCGGCCTCTCTCTCCACGAAAGAGCTACCGGCCTGCTAGTCATGAAAGTGACTACGGTAGTGTTGCTACGGGCGGGGTACTCTGTCGAAGACGGAAGAAAACAAAAGGCCGACTTCTACCCAATTATTATCACCCAGTGATAATATACTAAGACAATTTCCCCTCTGCCCATGTACGCTGCTCCACCGTCTACCCATTTTTCGGGATTGCTCGTCCATTGACGATGATACTTGAACCGGGTACTCCGTATAGAGGACAGCTCTCAGTGCTATTCGTTGCCTGGTGCCGGATGCCGGCGATGAAGTGCTCAGGCAGCAACAAGGGCGCGAAAAAAAAAAAAAAGAAAAGAGAAGCGGCTCGCATTCCGCCATGGTTCTATTTTTTTTTTTTTTTTTTTTTTTTTTTTTCTTTCTGCTTCCATCCGGTATTCCCTGATCGCCAAGGATGAAGGAGTATACACATTTAATGTGGCCCGCCTTTGACATTACATATACATATATTAAATTGCGGGGGGAGAAATAAGCATTTTTGCTTTTTCCAGAGCTTCCCGGCGCCGATCGTTGGTATAAATCCGGGTAGTAGGCCGGTTTTCTCGGAGAGGCTTGCAGCTTGCTTTGCCGCCTGCTCAGTCATATAACTGCTTCCCTCCCTTCCTCGCCTTCCCTGCCACTTGCTCTCTCTCTCTCTCTTTTTTTTTTTCCTCTTTTTTCCTCTCCTTCTCCCCCTGTCGTTTTTCTCTTTCTCCCTTTTGTCTGTCCCAGGTCAACGGGGTTGAGTATCAGATATCAGAGGTCACCATGTCTCAACGGACAGAGCACAACGGAAGCTGGCTACGGAACGCCGGGTCTCTCCTCTCGGTCCTAGCCTGCGTAGCTGTCCTTGCCAGCCCAGCTTCGGCCACCCCGGCATCAGCAGCAGCAGCAGCAGCTCCCCGGACCGATGACTATCTAAAGCGTGCGGAACGCATTCTCAAATTCACCCCGCTGATCGACGGGCACAACGACCTTCCCAACTTCATCCGGAAGACGACGAAGAACCAGATCTATGAGGGGAAGATCCCGTTTGAGGACGAGCTGCCCGGCCACACTGACCTGAAGAGGCTGCGGAAGGGCAGAGTGGGCGGACAGTTTTGGAGTGTTTACACACCCTGTCCTGACCCACCGGTGCCCATTGACAACCCTACAGTGCGTATTATCAGACGGATAATCTCTCTGTTTCTTTTTTTTTTTTTAATTTTGCCTGGTGGGAAGAGGGAATTGGCTGATCTGGTGTGGTTTGTTTGTGTTTTTTCCTGGTGTAGTGGTCCGTTCGGGATACCTTGGAGCAGATCGATGTGACTAAGCGCCTTATCGAAAAATACTCGCGCGATCTGCAGTTCTGTGGAGACGCAAGGTGTGCTCGGAGGGCGTTCAGGAGAGGAAAGATTGCCAGTTTCCTGGGTATCGAGGTAAATAAAGCTTCCCCCAATTCCTTACAATTCTGCAATTGCAAAAACGGCGAAAAAAAAGGGAACTTATGTCTCATAATATATTCTGCTTGAAACAAAACACAGGGAGGACATCAGATCGGCAACTCTCTCGGTGACTTGCGCCGGGTGTATGAGCTGGGCGTGCGCTACATCACGGTCACTCACAACTGCGACAATGCATTTGCGACCGCGCAGTCGACCGTCGCCGACGGCTTGCCGGACACCGGACTGATGAAGCCGTTCGGCATCGAGTTCGTCAAGGAGATGAACCGCCTTGGCATGCTCGTAGATCTGTCGCACGTGTCCGCAAACACCATGAGAGACACATTGAAAGTCGCGCGGGCACCGGTCATCTTCTCGCACTCGTCCGCATACGCGGTGTCCAACCACCTGCGCAACGTGCCCGACGACGTGCTGAAGGAGGTCGCGAAGAACAACGGCGTGGTCATGGTCACCTTCGTGTCCCGGTTCGTCAACGTCGAGAATCCCGATGCTGCAGACATCAACACCGTGGTCGATCATATCTTCCATATCGCCAAGGTTGCCGGTTGGGACCACGTTGGCATTGGAGGTGACTACGACGGCACTGTTTACCTTCCCAAGGGTCTAGAGGTAAGATAGAAAATCCCCCCTTTTTTTATTTTATTTATTTATTTTATTTTTATTTTTATTTATTTATTTATTTATTTATTTTTTTTGGCCCCCTTTCTATTCTCCCTGCCAATTCGATCCAAAAAGCTAACGACTGCTCGACAAGGATGTGTCCAAGTACCCCCACCTCATCGCCCGAGTCCTCGAACGCGGAGCCACAACCCAGCAGGTCCGCAAGCTCGTAGGCGAGAACATCCTCCGGGTGTGGACTGAGGTGGAGAGAATCGCGAAGCGCCTCCAGAAAACCGAGCTCCCCAACGAAGCGTACTGGGAGGGCCGCAACTGGACCAGACCCGCCAAGCGGGACCTGAACGCTGACTTCGAGGGCAGAAGCGTGCCATTGTTCACTTCTGCGTCGAACGGCGACTTCTGTGATTAGTTGGAGGTGGAACTGAGAGATTTTTTTTTTAATTTAATTTTATTTTATTTTATTTTTCTTGGTACATGTCAATATTTCTTTTTTTTTGTTGAGGACGGGCCTGCTGCGGCCTGCCTTTGGATAGTATATAGTATATACAGGGAATACGGAGTGAGTACTCCGTAATATAACTCTTCTTCTTCTTTTTGTTTTTCTTTAATGCATATCTGGCCATCTCTGTGCTAAGTCCAGGAATACTGTTAACTCTTTCAGTTTAAAACCCCCCTTATCGGCACCGGCAATTGGATGTGTTGCAGAGTGATGTTCCCTGCTGATACAACCACTAAACCCAGAAGGGCATAGAGGCGGGAAAATCTCTGCTCAAAAAGCAGAAAACGACCACACAGACTTTCAAAAGCAAGGCAAAAAGCAAAAAAAAGAAAAAGAAAGAAGAAGAGGAGGAAAACAGAAAAAAAAAAAAAAAAAGAAAAAGAAAAAGAAAAAGTAAAAAGAGAATAGAGACAGAAAAGACAGCCAAGACGGAGCGAGTCCCCTCTGTCTTCTTCGTTGTCTACGACTCTGCTGAATTAGTAATTGGATCGCCGTCTAGAATCCCCTCGCAAGGCGGCTAAGCATGGCGGCGATAACGTCATCCCGGGCGCCCCTCCTCTCGCTCCTGCGCAGCCGCTGCTCTCCGCGCCCTCCCCAGAGCACTACTAATAGACAGCCCGTCTCGCCCCTCCGGCATCCTGCTCATCCTGTTCCTGATCGTGTTCCTGCGACTGCAACTGCAACTGCTGCTCTCTTCCGCCCGTCAACCTGCACCGTGGCATCATCGCTACTTCGAGTCCTGCCATCAGCATCACTGTCATCGTCCGCGCGAAGGACATTCAGCACCACCCTCCCACCCCGCTTTCGAGGAACTGCCGCAAACATGGTTGTCACCGCACTTAAGGAGTGAGTCTTGTCCCCTCCATTCACAGCACAGGAGAAAGGGAACAAAGGACGATTTGTTGTTTCATTCATCAAAAAGCCAAATCAATCACATATCCCCATAAAAAGAAAAAAGAAAAAAAAGAAAAAGGAAAGAAAAGAAGAAGAAGAAGAAAAAAGCCAAAAAAAACCATCTCACTTCACTCCCTCACCGCCCTGTCCTGCTCTACACCGATTCTCCCCAAGTTACCCCGCTTCCTCTCCCTCTACCGCCTCCAACAACCATCCATTTTCTTCGCTCTCTCTTCCTCTCCTAACCCACTAACCATCCTCCCCAGCAACGCCGCCTTCCAAGCTGCCATAAACCCCGCTGCCGTCGCCAGCGAAGGCAAGAAACTCGTCGTCGTCGACTGCTTCGCGACCTGGTGCGGCCCCTGCCAGGCCATCGCCCCCAAAGTCAACGAGTTCAGCGAGAAATACCCCGACGTCGCCTTCTACAAGATCGATGTCGACGATGCTCCCGACGTCGCGCAGGAGTTGGGCGTGAGGGCCATGCCGACTTTCGTGTTCTTCAAAGATGGACAGAAGGTCGACGAGGTGCTCGGCGCAGTGCCTCCGGCTTTGGAGGCGGCGATCCAGAAGAACCGGGCATAGATTATTTGATTATTTTTTCCTTTTTTTTTTTTTTTCGGTTAACAAGGGGAGATGTTGAAGATCGAAATTTGGGATGAATAGATGCTTGGGATACTAAGGAGGGAGGTTTGAAGGGGTAGACATTTGTTGTTATTGATTCTGCTTGTTTTAGAGGCCTCTGCGGTGTTGTTTTTATAAATTTTCGCTTCAGATATCTTGAACAGATCGGATCTGGGCATATCTTAAAAAAACCACACCCACGCCCTGTCTACCTACCTACCTACCTACCTACCTGCCTACTCTACTCTACTCTAACCAATGAAGAATCTACGACAAAACTGTTTTGGTTGCTCTTGTGCATAGCATCCCATGACCGGAATAGAGATTTATTATATCCCATCAAATACTCGAAAAGTCCTACCCAAGATTCCTTTCCAAGAGGTTTTTCAAAAAAAAAAGGTTCCGTCCTGAGAAGTTTATGCATCACTCTTTTTTTCTTTTGGCCAGCTCACCAACTACATAAGTCATTATCGTCAACCAGCCCAAGAATATGCAGGAACTTACCCCCACTCTGATATAAATAAGACATTACTACTAACTAGCTAGCCACACACACATTACCAGCTAGTGGCTATTTGAAGACTGATCCTATATATATGTATATTTTCCCAAGGTTAGTAACACACAAAGGCTTACTGACTCCCTCTGTCCTCAATCCATCTTCGCCTCAAGAAAATTCCCTTCCCCCCACCAGCCAAAACAGGCCCCCCCACCTTGGCCGCGGAGCCAAACCCTCTAGATCTATCCAAGTAGTGGTATGAATAAGGATAGTCTTTCACCCTACCCTTTATCCAGCACGTATTCAACCCCATTTGGTCAAGAAAAGAGAAGAGGGGGTTCATCCCTTGAGGAGACCTTTTTGACTCGGATCCGGGGAGGTGATTTGAACTCGGAGAATCGGGCGAACGTTTCGATGGAAGGGGTGGTTTGGCGGGTTACTGATTCCCATCCACCCTTATCACACGCTCTTTCTGACTTAGCAGAATCTTGTAGAAGCAGATCTGTATTTGTTTCTGAAGATATCTCAAGAGGGGGGCCATATATCATTTTTAAGTCGTACGTAGGTGAAGGGAGGTTATCTAGTTCATAACTACGCAGTTTGATGATAGCCGTCGCGGGACTCCTTTTTAGCCCCTAAAAACCCCGAAGTCAAATTCTGTAGATTATAAGGGAGCTGAATCAATTTTCAGCCCTGTCCCTCCCAATGCTCAAGAAAGTCAAACGATTGTTTTTTCATGTTACCTTTTACCGTGTAGGCATTCCTTGTAATATAACTGGCAAGCAATGCCTAGAACCCAAACACCATAATACTACGGAATCTATGACCATCATTGGTCTTTATGCTAGCGGAAAACGAAGTGAGAGATAGAAAAGGAGCAGAGGAAGATGCATAGGATATGAGGCATAGACATGAGAGAGATAAGGTCGCCAACGTGGCGCTGTGTACCAAGGCCAACTTAAAGAGCGAACCGAAGATTTCGAAACAGGCTATAATGGCATGCAGTGGACTCCTGACAGCTGAAAAGAGGCGAACGTCTCTTTGTCCTTGTTCTGCAGGAGAGGTTTGTCAATGAGACGCAAATTTCGATAAAACAAAACATTAACACTAAATCTATGCCTCGTTAAAAAAGCAAACATGTAGATACGCGAGTATGCATTCGCTTTAGAAGAGTCCATATCCGGGACATCTCTATGCAAGGACCAGCCCAGGAGACTTAAAACCCCAAAAACGCCAAAACACCACGCTATGCCATGACAATCGTTGCGAATAAAGGGAGCCCAACGGTTGATCAACGGGGCGGGTCATAAGATTTCGGCCCAGTTGTTTTTAAAGAAAGGTCATTTATCGGAATCCCCGAAGTCGTCACCTCCCTCACTACCAGTCGCAGAATTGCCGCTGTCGGGACCCACAGTCAAAGTGCCGTCGGAGCTCTTAGCTCTGGGTTCACCGGTGTTTGGCTCTTTCTCGGGAACGTTGACTTCTGTGTCTTCGTCTGTCTCGACTTCTGTGTCGTCTTCGGGAGTGTCAATTCCCCTTGGCGTTTCAACCACGGCATCTGGATCGACCCTCAATTGGATTGAAATGACGTCATCCCTGTTGTCGCCCCTGACTGAGATACCGACGGTCACGTCCTGCAGGATACGACGCTTGCGCTCTCTCGCAGAGCGACGGACGCCGGATCGAACAGGGTCTTCGTCGTCGTCGTCGTCGTCGTCGCTAGGGTCGGCGGGTCGTTTGCTTCCAGTGCTATGGCGGGAAGAGGACCTTGACGAAGTTCTCAAGCATGCCCGAGTGGCCGGGTTGACACCGCCAGGTGAGGCCATGACAGTACCAGAGGTCTCAGTACCTGGCGTTGGAGCCACGGACGATTGAGAGGACGAGGAGAAATCGTCATCGAGAAGACGGGAGAAGGCAAAGTCGATGTCCCCACGGCACTTTGTCAACACTGCCCTGATTGTATCGTAATCAAGGAAAGGAAGGGCTTCAGCAATCGTGCTGATCTTCCATGGCTCAGCCAGGGTCAGTGGTGTCGGCAAAGTCTGCGTTGCAACAGAATGGCTTCGAGCCTTTGCAGCATTCTTGTTGCCCTCCTTGACGACTTGAGCGTCAGCTCCATTTTTATCGAGTCGTCTGGGGAGGCTTGGTAGCCCTTCACGAGGGGCATCCAGGCGCCTGACTGACGAGTAGTGCTGGTACTCCTATCAAAAAAAAAAAGGGTCATTTAACCATGGCCTGCAGGCAATACTGTTTCAAAAAGAATAGTAAGAGGGCGTACGTGGTATGCGAGATGGACGGTCTCCCTGTCGGGATCCACGTCGTGGAGGTTGCTGGTGAACTCCTGCACCGTGTCGGCCTGGTACACAACGATATCTCGTGCGTAGGCCTGACAGAATGCCTGGAGCTCAAAAGCACCGCCCCACTCATGCGGCTCGCCCATCTTCGAAAGCATCTCCTCGAACTTGGAGTTTATCCTGTCCACGCTTGGGGTGGAGCCAACACTACTGAAAGATCTGTTTGCCTGCCTGGAGGCCTCTCTTGTGGAACGAGGGCGGTCTGGACCGAGATCTACGAAATGTATGAAGGAGTCTCGGTGTTTGCGGATGTGGTCTACCAGTCGCTGGCGGACCCTGTCGTGGTGCTCTGGGGTTCCGTAAAGCTGGTCTGAAAGGGAGTAGAATAGGCAATTGCCTGGAGAAGGTCCGGTTAGTAGGAAGGGAAAAAAAAAAAAAACAAATCACGACTAAGATCTCAACGAGGGAAACGTGAGAAATATTGTTGCGTACCATCTCCCTGTATATCGGCTGCATAACAATTTAGTCTTTCAAGGCGTTCCTTCAGACGCCGATCGGACTCCTCCACAGTCGAGTTTCTGCGCGAGGAGCGAGCACTCAGGCCAGCGGATCGTGCATTAAGCCTTGAACGGGCCATAATAGGCACAATCCTAGTGGCAGGAGGCAAAGTTGTGTCAGCCATATTTGCGGAAGTGTGACTTGCAGCAGCGGCATTGGAGGAGAATCTGCAACGAGGGAACCAAGGGCTCCCTCAAAACATGCCAGAATAAAAAAGATAAAAATAAAAAAAATTGAGATAAGTATAGTTCTTCCTCTCTCCAAAAAAAAAAAAAGGGAAAAAAAAAAAAAAGAAAAAAAGAAAAAAAAGGTGTGGAAGAGAAGCCGATTGAGCCTCCCCGGCAAGAAGTGAGGTTTTTGAGAGGGAGAGGGAAGATAGAAAAAGGAAAGGGCGAAGGAGGGTGTGGGGGAGGTCAGCAAGGCTTAAAGGGGGAAGGAGAGAAGGGGAGAGAGAAGGGGAGAGAGAGAGGAAAGAGAGGAAAGAGGAGAGGTTGAAGAGGGAAGGAAAACACGAAAATTGACGTGTTAGCAACAGGCAGGCGCGACTTTTCCCTTTCCCCCCCAACCCAAATTAGTTCAAAAACGGGTAAGGGCAAAAAGAAGAAAAAAGAAAAAAAAAGGAAAGAAAGAAGGAACAAGCACGTCTTGGCGTCATCGTCCACTCTTTCCGTGAAACTTCGCTGGAATTGGGAAGGTGCTTACCGGGAGCTCGCGGAGGAAGAAGGTTAATCCAAGCAATGTGGTTGGCGGAAGTGCCGACAGATTGTCGCCGTCGACCAATGGGAGGCGGGAATAAGCGCGGATGGTCGGGATGTGGGGCCGAGTGGCGGCTATCCTTTCGGTGGTACGGAAAGAAACTATGTGAAGTACAGAGTATGTTGAGTCTAAATGAAAGGGAGAGTGTAAAAGTGAAGGATTGTCACGGATAAATCGAATCTCAAGAATCTCGCAAAGCAAGGAAACTCGAGAAGGAAGGAAAGAAAGAATGAATGAATGAATGAATGACAATGAAGAAAAAAAAAAAAAGAAGGAAGGAAATAGAGGAGAGAGCCGAGTTGTGAAGCAAAATTATAAAAGCACTATCATTCAATCCTCATTGTGATGCCAACTAGTCATGAATGGGTGCTCACTTATACTGAGCATGCTGCTACAGCAGTGAGCGTACAGCTGCCTGTCATATTATCATATACCATATAATATTGTGGCCCTATTCGCCCCCTATTCAACACACCACAATACTTACTACCCATTTACAAACGCCCATTGACCCTTGACTTGTGACAAGCTCCATGAAAACATGTCCATAGTAAAGCCACGCGCCTGACGTTGCCTGGATGTTTAGAGATGCCATACAACAGCATTGGAATATATCTTCTTGTAGGCTGTGATGCAGCACCCAAAGTGAGTATTTCTCTTCTCTTTTTTTTTTTTTTTTTCCTTTTTTTTTTTCTTTCTCTCTCACAGAGCAGAATGGCTAGGCAAATCCCTGCTCTAGCTCTCGAATAGATTTCAATGGATATTCCATCATTTTTTAGCCACGGCAACCCATGCATGCTAACATTAACCATGTAACCAGCATTTTTGCATGTTTTGATCAGCCTTCTCCTTTGGAAGAAATATCCTGATGGCTGGTTGACAAAAGCACAGGATTGTGGTGAACATGGGAGGAGTAAATAAAAATTGGTTAACATCGCAAAGTAGAGAGGAGCTGTCATATAGCAAGCCTGTGGCATGTGTTTCTATGATGGCTATCCGGCCCCCAGGTGTCACAGCTCCTTTGCGGAAGCAGATCGCTCTTGGCTTGCAACTGAGGGACATCTCCACGCACGCGAGTTTGGTTACAGAAGAGTAGACGCAAGTTTCAGCTTTGTGAGAAGACGTAGGACCCTGGGCTGGGATCAGGTGAGACAGGAGAGGAGAGACACTAGAACCGATCAGTTCAAGCTATACTGATAATACAATAATCCAACGCAAAACGAAGTCTATCAATGGATAGTCAGGACTGCACTTCGGCGCTAGACTGATCCCGGTCGACTAGAAGAAGCCCTACCGTAGAACGACGCAAATGAAGCGAGTATCATGTGCGGGTATCATTTACACATTATTGGTATCCGCTACTGAATCCATTTTTGGCCCTGACTAGAGCCATCCCAGTATGACAACACGTGCGTCTTCAGTTCAGACGGAATTCGCGTGCAGCATACCTACCACCAGGTTATCTCGCCGACGACCAGCTGACAATGTTGGTCCGTCGTCGCACAACAGGCGATGGGCCGCCAGACCGGAATCGGCCATGGCTGGACATCAGCGAACGACGTCGAAAAGAAAAACAAACATCCCCTGAGTAGGCTCACGTCGCCATACCTGCTGACAGTCTTCCCGAAACGATCAAGGCTTCGTACGAAATGAAAGAGACATTGGATCCTAGATCTCTAGATAAGGAGCTTGGTGATCTAGAAGCCTGCTATCCCCTCGATACCCCTTGCTTTGTGTCCCGTGGGCCAAGGTATCACAGCTACCTCAAGTATCCTTATCCGTCGAAACCTAGCCATCCCGGAAAACTTGGGAATCGCTTGGTGGATCGATATTTCGCTTGGAGGGTCGCACCCGAGACGTGAATCTTTTTTACCTTTTTTTTTTTTCTTCTTGTTGTTTGGCTGGATAGGAGGTGGTTCTTCGGCCTTTAATTCGTTGATTTCTGCGTGGGAGACGCGATATGCATGCCTTGGAGATTTACGGCTTTTGGGATTTGTTGGCTTATCCCGACAATATTTTTTTTTAAAACCTCTGCTTTAACGAGGGTGGGACGGGGCATGGCTGTTTCTCAGAAGCTTCTCCGCAGTGAACAATGGAAGAACCCACAATAATACGGAGCACATAGCTAGTGCCGGCACTCTGATATAGTTAACGACGAAACCCGGAACACGCCCCTCACGAGTCACGCCCTTCGCCGCTCTTTCACTGTCGAGCTTTTTTCATTTTTTTCATTATTCTTTTACTTTCTCTTCAAGGATCCAGTGCTTGAATTATCTCGACAAAGCTTTATCCTTGCCTGATCCTAGACAATGGCGTCCAACAAGATCGTTATCATAGGGTGAGCTCTCCGCCGTGATGCACGTTAGCCGGAGCCGAAAAACGCATCGCTTACCCGGAGTCTAGGGGAGGCGTGATCGGATTGACTACCGCATACCTACTCTCCAAGGATAAATCCAATGTTATTACAGTTGCTGCAAAGCATATGCCCGGCGATTACGATGTTGAATATTGCTCTCCATGGGCCGGCGCAAACTTTCTGCCGTGAGTTGGCCCGAGAAGCTCTAGTCCCTTCACGACACATACCTTGCTCCGGTCTGATATAATCCGCTCTTGGTCGCAATTTGCTAACTCGGGGCTTATACATAGTGTAGGAGCTCCGGGTAGCGCTCATGCGAAATGGGAGGCCAATACGTGGCCTGTATTTGAGGACCTGGCGCGGAATAATCCCGAAGCAGGAATTCACTTCCAGGGTGAGACTCTACCACCGCGGTTTAGCAACGACAGAAGCACTGAGCTGCATTTTTTAGATTCTATTATATACAATCGCCTCAAGGACGCCAGCTCTGACACTGCTGTCTGGTTCAAAGAGCTGATCAACCCGAACCCTTGGTACAAAGACATTGTCCCCGACGTATGCAAATATACACAACGCGCTCCCCCCCTTCCCCCCCCCGGGGCTCTCCAGCCAAGCTGACACCCACCATTCTTAGTTCCGCCCCATACCCAAGGAGAAATTACCCCATGGATTTGACAATGGTTCCTGCTTTACCTCTGTTTGCCTCAATGCGCCGGTCTACCTCGCGTGGCTCGTCTCACAGTGTCGTAAGAACGGTGTAGTCTTCAAGCGTGCTGTTTTCAAGCATATTGTCGATGCAGCCGGTGCTCACCACTCTGGTCAAAAGGCCGATGTCGTCGTCAACTGCACTGGTCTATCTTCCAAGTATCTGGGCGGTGTTGAGGATCAAAAAATGTATCCAGCCCGTGGACAGGTGATCGTCGTTCGTAACGAAGTTCCAGCGATGTACTCTGTATCGGGAACCGACGACGGTCCTAACGAGGCTGGATATATCATGATGAGGGCAGCCGGTATTTTTTATTTTTTCTTTCTTTTTTTTTTTTTTTTAACATCTACCAAGCGAATCTCTGAAATCACCTCGGATTGAAGGATCCCAGCTAACTCTCACAATTTAGGTGGTGGAACAATCCTAGGGGGCTGCTACCAACGGCACAACTACGAAAGCCAACCGGACCCTAATCTCGCCATCCGTATCATGAAAAGATGTGTGGCTCTTTGCCCCGAACTAGTCGGAAAAGACGCCAACGGCAATCAGCGCGGTATAGAAGCCCTTGATATCGTCCGACACGGCGTCGGCCTGCGGCCTCTTAGAGAAGGAGGTCCTCGAGTGGAGCGTGACAACATCGGCGGCGTTTCTGTCGTACACAACTACGGCCACGGAGGGTTCGGGTATCAAGCTTCATTCGGTACCTGCGCTGATGCGGTCGCGCTGGTCGAAAAGGTACTGGATGAGAAGAAGCGCAGGGCTAGACTATGATTTAGATGGGGTTGATTGTTTCATATAACTAGTTAGCTTAGACCTGTTTCTTTTATTAACTAACTAATGGCTTTAGGGGATCAATTGTTTTTCCAAATTTTCTTTTGCTAAGCATTGTTCTAAACATTAGTCCAGCAAAGGTAAACTTTCATTCACCACATGAGTAGAAAACATCTTCGGGGGGGTTTTCTTATACAGATGTGAGACCTTCCTGGGATGCCACTCTCTCACTTCGGCATGCCACCCCGCAAAGAAACTTTTTGACGATCGACGGCAACGCGGAACCGTAACCGGCCAGCTTTTGAATAACTTTTTCCTTTTTTCCTCCCCCCAGGCCGACCCTGGCTCGGCTTTGCGGTTCGACAAGGATAAGACGGGCAAGGTGTATTCCGCTGTGCGCTAAAAACGAGAAAATATTTGAGCTCCGTCTGGTGAGAGGGGCGTGATCGCGAGAAGTTTATTTGTCCTGCGATGTCCGTCCGACAAGGCAGTTTGAGAAGCTCATATTAATTAAATAGCGGCCCTCTGGACCTCTTATCGGGTTTAGAATTCAAATTACTCTCTGCCCTAGTGCTCTGTCCTGGGAGGTTGAGTTATTTGCCAGCTTGAAAGCCGTTGTTTTCGTAGCTGTGAACTGAGCTCCCCATACTGATAACTCTTGAGGAATTTGATCCTTAAACTTTTTTTTTTCTCTTTTTTTTTCCCCCTTCTCTCTGATTTATTTTGACTCCCGGGGAAGTGGATCCAACACTGTGCAAGAGCTCTATAGAGCCTTTTTCTTTTGACTCATCGAGTTGATTCGGCTTAATCTACTCCGTACATTGAGAGCAACATGGCAGCCTCTGTCAAGATGCCAGAGGAGCAATTGAAACCCGCGCTCTCCAAACAATCCACGCAAGAGCATATCCAAGAGTCTCCTGCCAATGGTATGGAGGACTCTGAACCCGGCGACGAGCCCACTCTGGCCGAAATCAACCGGATATACAGGTATGCCACTTGCACCTGAACAAAACACACAACCCCCGCGCGCCGGGCAACGTGTGCGTCTTCAGACCTAACCGGCCGATCTGATTTCTTCTGCCTACAGAAAACTCGACTGGCGCATAATACCGCCGTTCTGGGTGCTTTACTTCCTATGCGCATCCATCAGATCCACCGTCGGTCTCTCGCAGACAATGAATATTGCAGAGAAGCATGATCTCGGGTCCGTTCTGCAGATGACCCCGCACGAGATTTCTACGAGTCTGGCGCTCTTCTACGTGTGCTACGTCGTCTTCGACCTTCCCTCCAATTTGATCATGACGAGACTCAGCCCGAGAGTCTGGATGAGTCGGATCGTCATTGGTGTGGGAGTCATTGGAAGCTGTATGGCTGCCGCGAAGGCAGCATGGTCGCTGTAGTACGTGTGATCCGTTGTATATAATACCGTTCGCACTAACTTGGGTTGATACAAGTCTTCTCCGCCTCCTCCTTGGAGTCGTGATGGCTGGACTATGGCCTGGCATGGCGTACTACCTCACGCTTTTCTACCCGCCATCGCGCACCGGCAAGCGAATTGGCTTCTACTTCACAGCAGCACAGGTCTCAGCGGCCGTGGTCGGCCTGGTATCTGCCGGATTCCAGAAGATGGACGGTGAAAGGGGTATTGTTGGTTTCCGATGGATGTTTCTCATCTACGGGATCTGTGGTACCGCGACGGGAATTTCACTGCTCTGGTGGCTTCCAGAACGACCCTTGCCGCCCGGTGAATCCCCCAGTCCCCGGTCAAAAGTGTCCAGGTGGCTGCCACAGACGCCGCCCGCATTGACGGGAAGAGATGCGGAGGTACACTACCGCGACCTAAAACGTATTTACCACCGGACACAATGGACGCTCTCGGATCTTGGTCGTGTCCTCATGGACTGGCGCATCTGGCCGTTATTGATCATGTACTTCGGCGTCGTCGGCGTAGGAATAGGCGTACAGAGCTACGGGACGGTGATCATTCGTGCCACTAATCCCAAACTCACAGGCGTCGAGCTCAGTCTCCTCTTCGCCCCTATCTGGATCGTACGTACCCTGAAATCTTTCCCATATATATGAACCCCCCCCCCTTCTCTTCCCCCAATGAAAAAAAGAAACAAGCAACTTACCAACTAACCCAACCCGCAAAAAAAAAAAAAAAAAAAACAGACCGACCTCCTCTCCATCCTCCTCATCACCCCTCTCTCCGACCGCTTCCACCACCATCGCGCCCTCTTCTTCTCCCTCCCCGCCACCCTCCAGATCCTCGGCCTCCTCCTGACAACCTACGCCGGCAACCCCAGCACCAACCCCTGGCCGCGCTACGCGGGCCTCCTCATCGTCGGCTTCGGCCTCGGCCCCACCGTCCCCGTCACCATGACCTGGACAAACGAGGTCTTCCAGCCCCGCCACGGCGAAGTCGGCGTGGCCGCTGCGTCCGCCGTGGTGTCCGGCCTGGGCAACTTGGGCAGCATTGTGAGCACGTATGCGCTGTACGCGGGTTGGGAGAGTGATCGGCTGGCGAGCGGGGCGAGCCAGTATCGGAAGAGTAACTGGGTTATGATTGGGATGTTGGTGGGGAGTATTTTGGCGGCGGTGGTGATGGAGGTGTTGTTGAGGGTTGTGGATGGGAAGAAGGGAGGTGCTGAGGTTGATGGGGATGGAGCGGCGAGGAGGGAGTCGAGGCAGAGGGGACTGGAGGGAGTGTGGTTTTTGAAGTGGAAGAAGAAGTGAGAAGAAGGAAGAAAGGGGAAAAAAAAGAAGAGAGAGAAAAGAGAAAAGAAAGGGAGAAAGCTGAGCTGCGGTACTTCGCCGAACTCACCAGCCTTCTCACGATCCCCTGCTGCCCGAATCGATTCATATGGAGTACATTCCTGGGATTTTGCAGGCTGCAGCGTCACGCCTAAGTGTGCTCTACGTCTCCTGTTTGAAAGATGATATTGATTTTCACCGAAAGTGAAATCTTCGTGTATATATAAGACCCTACGCGTAACCCAAAAAAAGATATGTTAGAAGTCTCCATTGAAGGGGGGCATCGCTGATGAGATCGAATCATCCTACTACGAACAAACTTCTCAATCACCATGGCTACCACGGGCAAATTGCAGAAGTGACCCGTCATTATCTGCATGAAGATTGCACATTTTGAAAATTAAACCAGACCGAAGAGCTCTTGTGGCGCAATGGTTGAATTCAGGATATTCTGAGGAATCACAATTCCATCAAGTTGATTAAGATCCAGCACAAACTCCCAACAACCTAGTGTCCCATGTAGTGATAGAAGTACAAACCGCGCACCAGACATGCACCACCATCCCAATGCATGATATGTATATATATACTCAAAACAGTCATGAAACCTCGAAAAAGGATGCCAGATTGATCGACTGGGCGATTCTGCGTTTGGGAGACCCAGTGGCATGCGTACTCGAATAGTACTCCGCGAGTGTTTACTAGATGTTTACCAGCAATACTCGTGTCGATAGAATTCACATTCCCACCGAAAGTGATTGCAATTTGGTATTTCTCCAGTAATTCTCGGTTCCTTTTTTTTTCTTTCTTTGCTTGAATCCAGCCACGGTGGGCTTCTTTCAAAAAAAAAAAAAGGAAAAAAAGATTGAAAAGGAACATGGCTCATCTGGGAACATGCTTGGCATGGAACCGTCAGAGCGCAGTTCAAAAAAACGCAAAGCGCGGTCAAAAGATCGAATCTGCACATCGGGGAAAAGAATAACAAAGTGGGGACACAATGATTAGGAGGGGAAGATGGAGTGTATGGGTTAAGAATAAATGTGATCATGGGTGTCAGGGCAAAAACGTGTGGGGTGAGAAATATACATAACAAAAAGCGAAACAAGTCTAATTATAAGTGATTGACACTCATGCCTAGTCGCCAATCGTGACGCCAGTGGGGTATAAAGGGAAAGCAAAGGACAAGATTTAAGAAGCACCGCAGAGCTAAAAAGAGAGAGAGAGAGCCATGTCAGTGTGAGCCTGGGAAAGATGTATCTGATGTAGTCAACTTACAGTTTCGACAATAATGCCGGTGATCTGATAAGGATCGGCATTACTGGCGGGTCTTCTGTCTTCAAAGTATCCCTTGCCGTCCTTGGCGACCTGGCGAGGAATGCGAATGCTGCCACCACGGTCGGCAACACCCCAGCTGAACTTGTCGATGCTGCCGGTTTCATGGCGTCCGGTGAGGCGGTCTTCGTTACCTTCACCGTAGACAGCAATGTGCTCGAAGTGGCGGGTTTCGAGTTTCTTCATAGCAGCCTCGATGACCTTCATACCGCCCTCGTTACGCATAGCCTCGGTGGAAACGTTGGTGTGGAGACCAGCACCGTTCCAGTCGCCAGGAATGGGCTTTGGAGCGAATGAAATGATAGCACCGAATTCTTCAGCGACACGGTTGAGGAGGAAACGAGACATCCAGAGCTGGTCACCGACTACACGCAAAAATCCAATTAGTTGCCAACATATATGAAAAAGGTCTAAAGGGAGTGGAAAACTCACGGTCGATGCCTTCACAGGGGCCAACCTGGTATTCCCACTGAGCAGGCATAACTTCGGCGTTGATGCCAGAGATGTTGATGCCAGCATAGAGACAGGCCTTGTAGTGGGCCTCTACGATGTCACGGCAGTGGACCTTGCCGGTACCAACGCCACAGTAGTATGGTCCCTGGGCGCCTGGGAAACCACCCTTGGGCCAGCCATATGGCCAGCCGTCGGGGCCAAGGAGGGTGTACTCCTGCTCCAAACCAAACCAGAAATGTTCGTGGGCATTAGCTCGCATTAACCGAGCGGCCTCGTGGCGGTAGTTGTACTTGTTAGGGGAACCATCGCTGTCCCAGGTCTCGCAGAGAACCAAAATGTTCTCTCCTCGTCGGAAGGGGTCTGGGAAGATGGCAACGGGGCGAAGGTAGACATCGGAGTTGTCTCCGGGAGCCTGACCTGTTGATGAACCGTCGAAGTTCCACTCTGGAAGCTCGTCTGCGGATTTTACGACCTTGTTGACGGTCTAAAAAAAAAAAAAAAAAAAAAAAAAAAAAGATTCGATCAGTCGGAACCACTCCGAAACAGAACATTTGGGTGGCGATGACTCACCTTGGTTTTTGATCGAACACCGCCGCAAGCATCAATCCAGATGTATTCCGCCATGATCTTACCCCGCTGGTCGAGTTCCATGTATTTTTTTAACTACATCCAGTGCATGTCAGTGAATTGGTGTGGGGTGAGCGAGTTCAAGCCGAATCGAGGGCAACGTACGTTCTCCGCATTGGAGATATGAGTTTTGGGAGCCTAATTGTAGATAAGAGTTGTTAGTCCGGTCTCGCGTCAATTCGTGCACAGGCACACACATGGGGAGGTAGAGAGAGAGAGAGAGAGACTGGACGTACCATGGTGACTGATGATATGTAGGTCGAGGCCGTGACTGACTGCACAGTGGGCACTACTGTTCAAGCAAGAGTGGATGGAGGGGCAATCAAGAGCGATGTTCAGAAGCGACTGGTCGAGAGCAATAAGCCTTACTTCGAAAGAAGAAAAGATGGAGAGGAGATTTGAAGCAGATGCAACACAAAGAATCGAGGGATATCACCAAGAAGGGAATAAAAGGGGAAAAAGAAAAAAAAAAAAAAAGGTTGAGGAAATAATGTGGAGAGAAGTCGGAGGAAGAAAAAGAAGGGAAAGAAGAAGATTTTATGCAAAACCGCGGGACTCGCTGGCTGGGCAAAAAAGATAAAGAGCAGGAAGCTGTGTGGGATCAGGTTTTTTCCCTCGGGACATTACCGTCACCGTAATACCCGCATGCGTGGCTGTATCACTTGTTCCGCGCTAAAGTTTAAATCCCTCAGCTGGACTTGCGGCGGTGCACTGCCAAATTTAGCAGCAGCCGAGCGATTCTCGGGCAGAACAGGAAGCTAAGTCACGTGTTTGCGGGCACCATCCGTGGCTGGAGAGTCGTTCTTTCGTCATTTTGCGTGTCTCGGGCGTTCCGAGATCGCTGAGGCATTAAATCATCAGCGCGGGGACGGCCGACTCCGTGCTTCACTTCGATGGCATCCGACTGCATATTTATTCTTTACGAGATCATGCCTCATTACTGCGCTCGAGGTTTGCAACAGGGAAGCCGGGAGCGTGTGAAAAGAAATTGGAATCACAGGGAAAATCGAGACCTTTTGTGTGAGTGTGAGTGTGAATGTGTGTGGCGCGATCACGCCCTGTGGTGGGCATGTGTGGCAGTTGTTTCAGGACACGGTGATACCGTTCTGTTACAGTATTGAAATACCGAGCGACTCGCATGGCCAAACCCTGATAAGGAATCCGCAGGACTGATAGGCTTATCGGGTTGCTTATCAGGAACGAGGGAGCCGCGACTTGCTGACTGGCACCAGGAACAGCCTGGCAATCCCGCCGTGCACACGAATCACCGTGACAGCGACGTTGCTCCAATACCGCAATTGAACTTACACAGCGTTGTCAGGAAGACCGGGGATGGAGACCGTGGCTGCAAGAGAGCAACTGCAAAGCTCGAGGAAGCTTTCCTCCCCCCCGGTTTCACCAACTTCGAAAAACATCCAATCCCCGCTGCCCAAATTGACCGCTTCGAGAGCTCTGGACCAGTCTCCATCGGGCAGCAATTACACCGGACAGCAAAAAAGAAAAGGAGAGTTGATCTTCTTTTTCTTTTTTTTTTGTTCCCTCCCTTATCGCTTAAAATAAATAAATAAATAAAAAAGAAAAAAAAAAAAAAAAAGAAAAAAAAAGAAAAGTCCAGCTGCACCAACCCTGCCCAAGCTGGCCCCGTTTCGATTGGATGTTATTCGCCGTCTGGATCGCGTTCCTTATGCAAGGGGGCCGATCGCTTATCGTCCGCCAACGGACACGCCATGCCGAATCAGGACTGGTCCCGCCAAGCCTGCTGCCGTCATCGGGTGGAGTCGGGGTGTTGCCGCCAAGCTGTTATGTAAGGCGGAAGATCTCGATTATCCGCCGTATACGGAGTAGGGAGATTTTACCCCAAAACAGGTACTTCCGTCCAATACTTACAATGTAGTTTACTGTCTACTCCATACTTCTGTAGTTTTAGTTTTATGGTTGAATTCTCCTGTGTATTTCTTTTTCCTCTGCCAAAGAAAAAAGTCAGATCCCCAACCGATATGTGTGCATCGAACAAACAATTCAAACAATTCAAAAAAAATTTGAAAAAATAAAAAAATGGTCCCTTGCAAAGCAGGCTGGGGACGAAAGGAGGCTCGAATTCAATCAAGGCAAGCCGAAAGATAAACCATCCGCCTTTGATTGGCCGGTTCCCTGTTATCGTCAGCCCTGTTTTCGCTCTTCACTGTGTACGGAGTATGTATGCTTCTTCCCCACACACACACACTCCTGACTGTCACAAAGTTGAGCTCCCCGCGTGAGACGGAAGTTTCTTCCGGAAGATGCTGGTAGCGGGAAGGCTCCGGGGCCCCTCATTCCACCCGTTAATCGGGCTGCCCGCTTCCCGCTTCAAATCTCGCGGGGTAGTCAAATTCGCTCCCGATTGGGGGGGTTGGGGGGGGGGGACTTGGGTGATATAGATGGGGAGATATAAGTTCAATTGGAGATGGTGGGATGGTGAGCTTCGTCGGCTTGGGAGCTTAAAAAAAAGAAGAAAAAGGTTTAGACGCTCTGCTCTCCTCGTGGGGCTTCATCCTCATTGAAGAGGCAAAAGTTACGAGCCGGGCGATCGGGGATGACCAAGAAAAGGGACATTGGCAGGAAGTCCAGGTCATCCAAAAGAGTGTCATTCTTGCAGGTCGTCGACAAGCCGAGTTCTTCGAACCTGTTATTAACATAAGTAACTTGCTTACGTAGGTTGGTGCAGCTGGACTTTTCTTTTTCCTTTTTTTTTTTTTTTTTTTTTTTTTTTTTTTTTCGTGTGGAGGAAACCCGCGGAAACCGGGGCCATCTTGGGGGAAAAGAAAGCATTCTCTATTTGAAATAGCAACGAGAAGACACATGCATCTAGTTGGGACGAGCTGACCTTATCCGTCCCATTGCTTGCAGTGGTCAACAGTGCTTCCTGGAACCCCGATTCGCTTAATCTGAAGCTCCTCGAAAACTGGAAGATTGGTTTAAATGGCCAGATGTCCCTTTTCTTTTCTTTTTTTTTTTTTTTTTTTTTTATTTTTATTTATTTATTTTTTTGGATCACAGACCATTCTATGAGAGACTAGATTCTCGGAACCACTTCCAGGAAAATGTGGGAGTTTGTTTAAATAGGCCATTTCCAGTCCTGGTTTTTGTACGTGCGTCCAATGGGAGGAGTCCGGGATATCAGACAACATAAATTGATTATCATAGAGTCGATTCAATAGCTGTCTAGATTTCTCAAGACCATCTCTGAGAGCGTGTATCAGATCTCCCCCCGCCGCCATTCCTGAAAAGCATTAGAGCTATAGGAACAGGTCCGGGAGGAACCATAGACCACGGGAAGCAAGCTTTTGAAACTTTACATCCCTGGCAAGATGAGTTTGGGGTGCGTAGGATATATGTACGGCTCAAATTAGTTATGAGCAGCACGAAAGCTATAGAGCAGGGTTATCAGGCATCCCTGATGCGGCTGAAATACCCGCAAAAACTGCATTGTGGGTTTCCCTATAGTTTTCCTAACTTTTTCAACACTGACTCCTGTGTCTGAACAAAAGTGATTACGCTCTAAAAGCGCTATTCCACCATGCAGATGGGCAGTGGCAACCTCGCCTTTTCCATTACCTCCAAATTCTTTAAACCGTGCATGATAACTTTCTGGATAGAACCACATGCCCATGCATATTGTTCTGCCAAGAATCCTGCTCCCGTATTGCCAATTGGAGAGCTGATAGGAAACGGGGTTATTCGCCCGATGAATTGAAGTGGTGTAAGTGGTTTAGGAGGTGGGACAAAATTAGAAACGCAGTACCAATGGATTGATATGGAGATGGCCTTTGCGGGGGTTAGAACAGAGACAGCATGGAATTGATATCTGAGTAGAGCTTACCAATAATAGTACCGTCCAGTTGCATTCCGCCATCCTTTAGTTATTGTACAAAAGCTCGACCGTGGCTACCGGTCAGGGAAATAATATTACCGGCGGAGGCTTTGTTCTTCGGCCCGCAGCCGCTGGACAAGCTTCTCCCTCAAGAACGGGCTTAATCCGAGTCTACACACCATTAGACATAACACTCTGCTCAAGCGAGAGAAAGGAGAAAACTTACATTCCATTTCTCGTTACAATTCGGTACGTTCCTAAACAGGGTCCGTTAAGATAAAAAAGGTTTTCAAGCAAACACGGGCAATCGGCCAGCCTTGCATGCAGCCATGGAGGTGCAAAAAAACAACATACCACTAGGTTGATAATTCCCATTCCCTTCAATATTTCCATTCCCGTCTACCTCCAAACTTCCGAATATATCTTCCGGCCTAAAGATCCCCGTTAGTCGAAAGATATATATATATCGAAGTGGGGGAAATGTTCTCGATACCAAGCAATTCGTCCGTATTCCGGCGGATTTCTACTATCCGACACATGAATCCATCCGCCGCGGCCACCGGACCCGACTCCGCCCTGGCCGCTCGCTCCGCCGCTGGAATCGCCTCCCGTCCCACCCCCGCTGCCGTACGCTGGCCTCTTGCGTCGGGGCTGCGGAGAGAAAAACACCCCGCCGGATCCTAAATTTGCGCCCGCCGTAGAGGCCATGACTTGCGCTTGCGATTTGACGTCCGGGTCTTCGTGCGCATGTTCAGAGACGACGGATTGCAGGATGTTAAGAAAACGTGGGTTTTCGACGAATGAACTTGGGGTGGGCGGGAGCTGGGAGGTCGTGCCGATGGCAAGCTCTGGGGTTGGGGGGTTGGCAGGTAGGAGGGAGAGGGTGTGGGTGTTCGGAGAGAGTTGGTTGGCGAATATGTACTTTTTTTTGTTTTGAGATTTTATCTCTCGATTAGCATTGCTGTGCTGGACGGAGGATTTCGCGAGTGTTTATTGGAGGTGCGACTTGATGGCGGAGAGCTTACAATGTGAGGATGGCCTTGGAGCGTTGAGGATGATCTGGTCTGGAGTATCCTTGGGTTCAAGACAGTTCGGCGGAAAGGCCCTAGAATAGAGGAGATGGGTAATTGAGCCATTGTTGGTCGCTGATAAAGGAGTTGGATACTTCAAGTAGAAGAATCGCTGCTGTTGCAAGTAGACAGTTCCCAGCGGAAAGACAAATGTGACGATGGCACCGTTAGTTAAACTATGTAACTACTCCATATATCCTTGCGGGAGACCAAAAACCACACCGGGCTACCTATAAACTGAGAGGTACTCCATTGACCTTCTCTCACTTTCTACCCATCAAGCAAGCAGCCAAATCCTTCCTCCCTCCCTCCCTCAGCCTCTCAGGATAGAACCCGTTTTGCCTCGCCGTCTGGGCGCCATTCCACTGCAACGTCCCGACGCACCAAAACATGAGTGTCAACAGTCTTTGGTTCAAGTGGAAGAGCTTAAGACTCCCGTGGCGGAGATTTTTCTTGGTCGGTGCGTTTTCCATTGCTCAATCTTTTTTTTTTTTAACTAATTTCTCTAACTGCGGCTTCAGGCCAGGATCTGGCCGGCAACACCTTCTGGGAATTCAAGGACGCTGCCAATTCCTCACGGCTCAGGCGCATCGTGAAATACAATCCAAAGACCCATTATGCAGATGTCAAGGTATCACGTAAGTGCCTCATCTCCCTCGAACATACTCGGAGTCGGACCACTGACCAAGCTTGCCCTTAAACAGCGCAATGGCACCAGTGGCTGCGACATGTTCGGCCAGAACCCCCTTCGATAGCAGAACAGCAGCAGGAGCTTGTACGCCAAGAGCAGATCAAGTATCTCGCCAAACTTGCCGATGAACGATGGGCCAGCAAGCCTTCGTATCTCGACAAGCCACAGGAACAGCAGCCGGGACCTGCGATCGAATCGAGAACGCCGGCATACCATACCGGCCCGAAACCAACCGCCGAACAGGCCGGTGTGCGCTCAGCGATCGGTAGCGAAGCCGAACTGCAGCAGCAAGGGACGACGAAGAAGAAGAAGAGGAAGATAAAGACTAGTCCTTGGGAAGGGGAATCCGGTGCGCCGGGCGAAAAATGGCAACCGGAGGCGTGGAATCCTTCTGCGGCAAAAAGATAAAAAGAATCTGCTCCCTTGGGGATGTCACAGATTTACCAATTCGACGTATAACCACCAAGTCTACGCGGGGAGCAATCTGCTTCATGTTATGAGTATCAGAAGACGTTCAAAGGTCATTCGAGCCACCATCTTCATTGACCATTACCCGTGCTCCACGGGACAAGTGAGACGGTTTGACGGCAGTTCGAAAGAAGAAAATCATTGATCAGGCACGGACTTTCTCAGTGCAGCCTTGCAGAATCCCCTCCGCCATCTCTTCCCGATGATCACGTCGGATCATCCGCTTCAAATCTCTCCATTCTTGGTGACAATGATCGCAGACCGGCTACTTCTGCCATGTATGTATGATACTGTACCATAGCGTTTACATACTTCGTGTGTACATTTACTTTGGATAATAAAAGCAGGACTTATTTTACACCCGCTTGCATAGATTCCCGTGAACTTCATGATGCACCTGGCATATGTATGTATCGCGCTGCAAGTGCCTTTGGCACTCATCCTGTGATGCGACTTGGTCAACTCCTATTTGATCCACAGACGCTTTTTCTTTTCCCATCGACCACAAATTTGGAAACATACATGCAACCCACCGCCAAAGGGAGAATAACCTAAATTCGGAGCTCTTGGGTTACTATGGGTAGTGGCCCAACCCCCTCCAGTGGGTAGATCGGTGGCACAAGATCACACCAGGCTATTCAATCTCTCGGTTACCTCGACAGGTTCTCTCTTCCCGTCTGACTCGAATGTGTGTCGCATTTTTCCTACTGCCAGCGAACCCTAGCACCGATCGAGCGGTGATTCTCTCCCCACCGTTTCATTTAGCCCCCTAGGGTTCTTGTTTGTCCTTTCTAAAGAGTCCCCTTTTTTTTTTTTTTAGGAGGAATTGCATCTTTATTCTCGAGCTTTGTCCTAGTCTCAAAAGGGCCCAGGCAGGCACCCGTGCATACTTGTACTCCCTTTCTTCCCTGGTTCTTTTCCGCACTTTTCCACGCACTATTATTAGAAAATCCAGGGGTGGAGGGGAGAGTCCGTCCGTGTGTCTGTTTCCGCTTCATGACTCAGGAGCTCGGCTGCCTCATGGTCAAACAGAGTCAGGCGTACATGCTCTTCATATCAAGCCATGATAAGATACTTTTCCCCTTGCACAAATGCAGGGATTCCGTTCCATGCCCATGGATTTCTTTTTTCTTGACTGTTTGTTTAACTCTTGTCATCCTCCTCGCTTTGTTATCGCGAATATACCATTGGAGAATTAGGCCTCCCTCTCCAATCGAAACAACCTGCATAGCTACGTCAGTGAGACAATCCGAGGCCTCGGGACATAAAGATTCCTTGATCACTAAGCTGTCTACTCTGCACGTATCTAAAAGGGAGTTCTGTGCGCGTATGTGCCGTGAGACCCGCTTTATCTTGTTCAGCTCGTGCAGATGAAATTTATGTATAGGCTGACAGACATCAGCATGTTTCAAAACCCCTTGCTACAAATGTGTGTACATACATAGTCCTACTTACTTTCATGCAGGGCTAACACGAAAAGAGGACATTCGGCGCTGCTCATATGTATGTACCTATGTGTTGAGGTGATATAAATAGTCCACGCGTACTACATACAATATGTATACGGGAGTGGGAGTGAATCCGTGAGAACAGAACACGATGCACGTTCGGAGTGTTAAAAAAAAAGGGGGTGTGGAAGTCAAAGCAGCCTGCATTGGCATCTGCCCAACCCCAATGTCAATGTGCTCCCAAGATTGGAAGACACAGAGGCACATGACAGCACAGTTTCCTCCTCTCTACCTTAAAACACAATACCCTGAATACCCGGGAGGGACAGGCTACTAGGGCTATAATCGATCGGCTACAGAGCATCCCAACGATGTCTTCGGTAATCGTCCCACGATGCATATACCCACCGTCCACATCACCATAATTCTACCTACACTTCGAAAACTTCTATTTTCAACCCTGGAGAACACTTTTCAGCCGTTTCGGAAACTTGAAAAAAAAAAAAAAAAAAAAAAAAAAAAATTATAAAAAAGAAAAAAATTAAGATAAAGAAAAGGATCTTTCATAAGTCAAATAGTTTGCATACATCCAGGTGGCCTCTTCAAACCCCGCATGTTTGGTCGAACCTCCGGCGTAGTACAAGCATTTCACTCATTTTTTAGGTAGAAGGGAAGGGGAGGATCGTTCTGAGGCTCGGGGGGCTTGCCACTGCATGATCCCTTAGTCCAGATTGGGAGTTTGTTCTTTTTCAAAATACGGGGGTTACATATCCCTGTGGCCTCGCGGCGAAATCCCCAGGGGAGCGTTGTATTATTGTGGCACAAGGAGGTAAAAGCCGGAGTCCTGTGGAAAGGAGCCGGATTCGAGGATATGAGGAAGAATGATTGTATCTGGGTTACATACTCTGTTTGGCCATGTTGAATTTTTTTTAAAAAAAAGTAGACTGGTAGATAATGTATTCAGTTTTCATAATAGCCATGCGTAGAATTCATTTCCAGAAAAAAAGGCTTCAAAAAACGAAGGCCACCCAGTATGTAAACAGTAGACAGTAGAAAAATCATCAAAAGCCTCCAGAGGTAACATGACAAAAGAGGAAAAGAGAAGATGAAGGAAAACAAAGACGATGGGTCCAGCAAGCGAAACGAGACATCCTGTCAGCGCTCATCAGGAAAAGGCCTCTAATAATATATACATCTACTTTAAGAAGAAGAAACGAAAGCAACCCGTGCTTAACAAAGTACAGCTTCCAACGCCTCGACGTCGCCTCCTGCCTTCCGAACGGCCAGCAATGCCGCTTCTGAGAGCTTCCTTCGCTTCTCCCTTGCTTCTTGCTCGCGTCTGGCTTTGGTCTTCGAGCTGCCGCTCGGTGCGACGCCTGTAAGTAGTTTCTGGCTATCTTCAGGTGTAAAATTAACGAAGGAAACAGTGACGGGGTTTCTATTCCCCATCGTTGAACTGCAGTGGGGAGTTGTGTTGTGGACTGGCATTGTTCTGGTAATTTTTGAGGTCGAGATACCTGGAAAACTGGATGCTTTGCGCGGGTTCGTACGTCGTTGATGATTTGTGATTTGCTGTCGGGACTTTGGCGAGCGGTGGCTGGCTCCAATCGGAGTGACTCGGGCTGGCGTCATCGGCGGAACTGTTGACCCAGGAGAGACCGAAGACGCGTGGGATGGCGATGCGGAATTATAAGACGATCCAAATGACGGCGGCCGCTGCAGAGATTCGGGGGCGAGTTCGAGTGGATATTGCGGGCCTGCTGGAGGCTCTGGACATGAGAGAGGTGGTACCGTAAGACTTGGTTCCGTAACATGCGGAAGTTCAGTGTGTTGGGTGACGTGGAGGCTCAAATCGGCATCATGCACCGGAACAGCGGTGTGGTCGGTGCGATTATGTTGTGGCCGTTGGGGAGCCGGTGCCATCAACATCGGAGCATAGCCACTGTGGGAATAAGGCTGTAGGCCTCTATTCGGCAGTGACGAGGGGCCCCACCATGTTTGCGCATCTGAAGGTTGATGCTCATGATGAGAGTACTGATATAGAGGAGTATCAAGAAGCTGGGAACTCCAGGGTTGATAAACCGAACCTTCCGATTGAGAGCGTAGGAGATGCATGGGAGCGGTCTGGCTGGATGGTAGAGCTATCGGTGAAGGTGTTGTATGTTCGAGGCACCGCGGGAAAGATGCAGTGCAGGGCGCGGGCATTGTCGAATGCTGCGTCGGAGAAACTATATTCGATCCATACTGTGTTGGTGACGCGCTTTGCTCCGAAGCACGACGTGTGTTAACAGCGGGAGTTATGTAATCGCGTTGAATGGCGGTCTGTGGCATCGGAGAGATTGAAATACGTTCGCCAGCAGGTTGCCCACAGCTCGGAAAACGGCCGTGCCAGGCTTCTTGATATGCCATTGTGCAGCTAGAACGCGATGAAATCGTCAACTCAAAAGGAGAGTCCTGTTTTCGAATTGAACCGACATAGTCATTCGATTTATGGTTTGAGAGGTCCGTTGCAGACAGGTCTCCGTACTTGTATGTCGGTCGCTGGCGGAGCGTCGAAGCGGACCTCGAATCTGTTTCCTTTCGCCCTCTAAATAGCAACCCGGAATCGAACGTAAATTCATCGACTGTGGAAAGTCTGCTCACGTTGTCAAAGGCCTGCGTTGCCTCAGAGCAGAGCGTTTCCGACGTGTGAAATGGTGAAAGATGAGGGCTCCAATGCTGGGATGAAAGCTCGCCGCCCTTCATTATCGAATATAGACTCGCATGAAAGGGGTCTTCCAGACCACATGATAACGGGACTTCTTTGTTGCTGGCATGCCTGAAAGTCTGCATCTCATCATGCTGGTCGAACGCACTCTGCAGCGAGCCATCAGCAGATTGAGCAGCAATATGCTGATCTTTATCTTCCGTTTTCGTCGAGTCTTCCACAGACTTGGAAAGGGGCATCATGACTAGATGCTATAATTGGATAGATTCCGTATATAGATTCCAAGCTAGCCTGACAGAAAGGCCCGCTCAGTTTACATAAATGGCAAAGTGAGGGGTAGGAGGGAAATGAATATAGGGCGATTCTTTCGGCGTGCAAAAAAGCGCAAAGGAAAAGAAAAAGAAAAAGAAAGAAGGAAAAAAGAAGACTTAAAAATATAACCCAACGCACGAAGATCAACAACCGATGGATGTACACGGGAAATTCACGTCGAACTAAACTCGAGAAAATGTCGGACACAGAAGGAAACAGCCTCGAAACCAGCAGCGGACTCTTAACAAGCCGCTCACAGTGATGTTTGCCGACCACGACAAAAGAATTAAAAAAGGACGCGCTCGGCGAACATGCAGCCGGAATAGCCGGTTAAGTGAGAGCGAAACGGACGAAAGCTCAAGGGACCTGTGCAGTGGTGGATGGAGATGATGAAGAAAGGTGGAGAGTGAAGGCAGACAGGGTTAGGCAGCCGCAGCAGCCCACACCGGCCTTGAAACGGGATATATTTGCAAGAACAGCAGCCGTTGAGGGCATCAGTGCAGACACATGGGAAACAAAGAATGGCCAAAACAAAGTTAGCGAATAACAAAGACCTCAGCGAAACCTAAAGATATATAGCAGCACATGACTGTACACTATATATCATATATAAATTCCCAAGGGAAATGACCGGAGAAAAAAAAAAAGGAAAAGGAAAAGGAAAAGGAAAAGGAAAAGGAAAAGGGAAAATAAAAATAAAAAAAAATAAAAATAAAAAGTAACGTGAATATGATTGATGACCCAGAAACCAGACTGGTCTCGTTGCACGAGGCGAGGCCCAAAAATATTAATCAATGGGGTCAAAGGAAACCAGTCGGTTGTCAATGCACTACCGTACACTAAACAAGGCTTGCCGCCAAAAACTTGATCCCGACGGCATGGAATGAACGATGAATTTGCCTGCATAATATAGGTAAGCTAGTCAGATATCCAGGAACTGCTCGCTGAGGTTGTTGTCCAACCACACAGCAACTGTTCTGCGAATCAGAGCTTAGCAACATGGACAAGGCCAGAAGAAAATGGAACACAGGCCGTTGGTGGGAAAAATGACAAGTCAGCAGGGCAATGGTCCTTCATTCGAGGTCACAACCAATCTTCGGGAACACAGAAGCTCGAGCATAGAGCAACACGGCCCGAAATGTCGACTTCTCTACGTCATGCAGGTTTCCCGGTTGAGGCAAGGAGGCGAAGGCTTAATGGTCACGATATTAAGGATCAGGTTGGTACATGAATATGTAATTTGAGTTGCAGGCCAGCACAGCACACACCAATAGATACACACAAGAACGAGATAGAAGAGGGAGAGATGGGAGTCGAGCGTTCCGAGGTATAGTTCCTGCAAGGGAGGAGGGACTGTAACATGACACGAGAGAAGGTTGTACACCACGTTGCTGACACCAGCTTTCGAAGGGATGTCAACCGTGGATTTGCCGGGAGATCAAAAAGCTATTTCTGCACGCTGCAATTGCGGCTCGACGTTTAAAGCATTCAAACAAAGAGATCTTAGCTCCGAGGAGCAACTCCTTTGTCTCTGGGAGAGATTTTGGGGAGAATAATACTCGTATTCGACGTCTAGTTAGCCACTTACAAAAAAGTCAGTCCATACCTGAAATATTCCAGAGTTACCGAGCTGACGGGACCTAAAAACCGAGCCAGACAAGTTAATCCTCTTTATGACAGATTTTGGCCTGAGGACGACGAGCAAACCAGACTACCAGCACCGTAGCCCACTAACCAGCGAGATGGGAGTTTAAGCTCGAGCTACTTCGTAGAGCGAAGAGAGGAGAGATGGGCGCGTCGTTCCCACGTCAGGAGCTCTCCATCGACAGACGGATGCACGACGGCTGTTGAGGGCTCTCTCTCCGGCTCGCCTGGACGATCAGCAATGCGGTTGCGAGGCAGACAGAGAGAGAGTGCTGACGGGGAAGACGGGACGGTGCAGCTTGCTTTGTGAAGTCTGATTAGAGTTGGGGCCAAAAAACAAAAAAAAGAGGGGCGGACGACTAGATCACGTGAAATATTACATCATCTGGGGTATGGCTTGAGGGGAGGCGTGTGACTGCTGACTAATAAAGAGTGGCAGTCAACATGATCGGAAAGGTAAATAATCCGATCCCGTGGCTCGGCACCTTCCGCCCCATGACGACAAAGGTCCCATTTTCCTTCCCTTTTTTTCTTCCCATTTTCCGCGACTTCCTTCTTCCGTCCCGCCCAAACTTCTCGTCTGGGAAACGACGAATGTGACGTCCTTCCCCCCCCCATCGATTTCTCCCCAAACAGTGACTTCTCTCTGTGCGCAAACAGCACACCTTTACCAAACACACGTTTTGTTTTGCATCCGCCACCAAACGTGCCCGCTTTTTCAGCCTCCGGCCATCGTACCTGCCCAACCCGCAGCGACTCCGCGTCCAACAGTCATCCTTCCTCTTTCCGCTTCCACCTCCGCTTCGTCTTCATTTTCCCCGCTCTCCAAACCTCCTATAAGACTCTCCACCTCCGTAACCGTCGCGCGACTACTCCCTGAGAATCCCTTCCCCCCCACAAAGCATCTATTCAGCACCATTCATCCCACTAAGCCGCGTCGTTAGACCAAATGCTGTTCAAAGTCAAACTCTACCGATTGGATGGAAGGAATACTCTACTATATCCCAGGAACTTCAGACAAAGCATTCATCCCCAAGACAATTCTCCTAGGCTATTTTCATTTCGCTGCGACGAACCCAACCCCGTGTTTAGATCTATAGCGGAGAGTAGGAACTATCTTTAACCGCAGAAGGGATATATCTCTAAAGAACAAAACAATAGCTGCTCCTGTAGCCCTCTAAGAGGCTCTGAAAAACAACAACAAAAAAAAAAAAGCCCAACACACAACGACAGGTGAACACAAAAATGGGTTTTATCATGGGCCACTGGACGCAGTGGTGTGCGGTGTCTGCTTGTTGAGTTTCGTGATGCTGCCAGCCATGGTTCCCTCCCTTGCTGTCTGGGGGAATCCCCGCCTGATTCACTCTTCACTGCCCTCGACTCTCTCGCACCTTAAAGAATCGCCTTGAGACCCTCGCTCCCTCTCTCCCTCCTCCGCATATCTCCAAACCCTCTCCTACTGCTGCTTCCCCATCCACTCCGGCATCCTACCTTTGCCGTATCCATCCAGCCGAACACGTCCTCGAACTTGCATCCTGCTCAGTGCTTTAGTCTGACACTGATCCCCTTGACACCTTTCCCCCCCTCTTTGTAGGAGTTCCAAGAAAAAAAAAAAAAGCGCGTGGACTCCAATCGCTGTTGGAGTCCTGGTTTGTTTCTCGCCTTTTTAGATATTATTTCTTGGCTATTTGGCCTCTCTTTGCTCCTTCGGCAGGCTCTTCTCCTTAAGCTTGTGCGCTCTTCTGGAGACCACACAACGATGTCGCAAAGCGAGGACGAGAAGCCCTCCTTGGAGGACTCGGGCCCGCTCAGCTCTCCCCACTTTAACCTCGCCAGCTCGATCATCGCACACTGCCTTGCCAACAACCCGTTCGAAGCTGCTTTTATAAATCGCGGCCCTGGCATCTTTGCTGCGGCATTTGCCTCCTTTTCTCGCTTACCTGCTGCGTTCGTTGGGAACAAGGCCAATCCAAATGCGCCTTTCCGCACTAATATGGAAGCCGTTGTTGCGGCGAACGATGATGCGCATTCGTACTCGAGTTTCGCATCCACCGCCATGTCTTCGGATGTTATGTCCTCTTCCGGCATGTCCACGCCATCGACCATGATCGGCGACGCCTCCGTCGATTCCTCGTTTTTCTCTATCCCACCCCGGTGCTCATCTCCTTACACACCCCCATACGACCTTGGGTCGTCTTTTAGAGATCCCGAGCAGGCTCTGAGCAACGTGGATGATTCTGACGAGGATCAGTACTCCGATGAGGATTCTGATTGCGAATTTGCCGATGTTGAAAGCGACCATGGATCTGAGGTCGGATCCGCCGGATATGACGAATATAGTGTCGATGAAATGGCATATGAAGGCTCAGAGGATGGTGATTCGTGCATTGGGGGTGACGAAATGGAAAATGACGGTGTGTACCAATTGAGTGTATCTTTCTCTCTGTTCAGCACTAACCAGTCTTTTCCAGATGATTCCATCGAGGAACAGCTGTCTTTTATATCGTTCGAGCGCTCAGTTCACTTCTCCTCCGCTGATGATGAAGTGATCCCCGACACTGGCTTTGAAGAGCCAGTCCCGGATGCCGTTCCTGAGATGACCTGTCACGAAAGGATGGCTTTAGCGGAGCATCTGAAAACCCGACGAATTGGAAACTGGGAGAATGGAGGAGACTACGATCCCGAGGAGCATTCCCGCGATTCTTTACAGCTGGACAAGGAGCTCCTTTCCGCTTATATTAACGGTTTACGCACCTTGAATAGAAATCGCTGTGAGACGGCTCTCCGATCACGAACGCTGCATGCGAGCCACGAGAGGCTAGGCCAAGTCGATGTGCAGACAGATAAAGATATGAATGAATATTTTGAGCGTATCAACGACCTCCTTCGTGGCATTTTCCCCAACCTATTCACCGAAGACGAGTACCTTCGGATCCTTTCCGAAGCTGAATCGGCCATCTCCATTGATGAATGCGGTCAGCTGACTTATGAATCCCATTCAGTGGCTGTCCAGCACATGATACGGAGCCTGCTGGCTGAACGACTTGGTTATGATGATATGTTCCTCGAAGATGAGATACTGGAGTGGTTCGCCGGCAACCTGATTGCACCGCTGGGTCAACAGGCTCTGGCCCGTCGGCATCAAGAAAACTGAATGGTTTATCTGTCTTATGGATTTATGACGATCTATTATCTTTTCCCGTACGGGTTACTTGTGCTTAGCATGTTCCTGCCTGACCTTTGGTTTAATCCGTTTAGAGGGGCCGATTACATAAAATCAAGGAACGAAGAGTCCCATGGAGTTTTTCCTCGGTTTCCCTTTTTTCCGCCCCCCAAATTTTAAAGAAAGTAGTGCGATTTACTGATTTCGGGACTTTGCGGGAGCTTTTCTGTTTCTTGAAAATTCTACTGCCCTTTTCTTTAATAATGCTAATTATTTTTTTTCCTCCTCCCATATGTGCTGTACGTTCCTGTTCGAGTGAAAGATAGAGGAAGTTTCTCTCCATCTTTGAACTGCTGGAACAATGCTACTATGCGTTGCCATCGAAATACTCTGTGTTGTGGCAGAGTATCCATATATATATATATATATGTAGAGTACAATTCGTCCATCGCACGGAGCAACTGCGATACCACTTCATATAACCAATGGAGTGTAACCTCCAACAATCCAGTACACAAGAAGTTTCTTCCTGACATCCGGTGAATTCGGAGCTTTTTTGTACCTCCCCTTTTTTTTTTTTCGGGTTTAACTACATAACTGTGTACCTGCTATATCCCACCCCCTTGTACGGTCCTGCAGGCTATAGTGCTACGGCTAGTTAGTTTAGGGCATGTTATATAACTTGCTTATTAAAAAAAGGATAACTAAAAGAAGAAGAGAGAGCAAGGAGAAAAAGAATAAGGAAGTGAATTCATCATGGTGCTTTTGGCTTCTTTCTTTTGCTTTTTCTTTTCTGTTCTCTAAAAAAGAGGGACGAGGAAAGTTATTAGCAACGCACACCATATACGTACATACGTACCGTGCTCTGGTTGGTTTGGATTCTGGAGCGTGGATATTACATGCAAAGGCAAGCATCCTCAGACGAAGGGAAGGGGGTGGGGGAGAGGTGTCATTTAATCAGAGATCCCTGTAGGATGTGTAACGGCTAACGCCGGTGGTCCAGCAGAAGGGACGGGCAGATTTTATACTTGGGGACTGTGGGTGAGGTGAATGAATGAGTGAGTGAGAGAGAGAGAATGTGTTTTCGTGTCGGTGCTAGCAGTTAGTTACGTATGGACGGAGTAGCTGAGTACGAAAAATGTGTTCTTATCATTCCTTTTCAGCTTCTAGAAAACGATCTCGAGATTGAGTAGCTAACTAGAGAGGAGAGAGCCTGGGCTCTTCCTTTTTTCTTTTTTATTTTTATTTTTATTTTTATTTTTATTTTTTTTTCCGTCAATTTCAGAATTATAACTGCATAACTAAGTAATAAGATGGGCGATATTACCGCCGTGCTTCTGGGGGATACAAGCCACCCCCAAGGAGAAGGGAAAATCTGGGGGCGGAATAAAATCTCGCGGGTGATCATTTAAGTTGGTCAACCGACCAGGGTTGGGCTCCCTTTCTTCCCCAGGGCTCGCTCTCTGCCCGCCAGTGTCCGGGGGGGTTGCCGCGACAGCCCTATTGGCCGGCAATATCGATCTCTTTTTCTCGTTCTTTCAGTCATCTTGTCGCCTTTGGATCCTCCTTTTGGGGCGGTTGAGATTCTAACTTGTGCTGCTTTGTGCTGCCCTCTCGGTGAAGGATGATTCGGGGAATTCCACCTTTTCAGTCCTGCTGCTACGGGGGGTGACAATTCCCGTTCCAATGTTCTACGAGCCCCATCATCAGTCTCTTTGCTTCGTGTTTCGATTCCTGAGGTACCATGTTCTCCGTAGCTCGGATGCTGATTTGTCAAGCTCCACAAAAAAAAGAAAATCATCGATTGCGTGCCCGCGATGGACTGACTCCAATCCATGGCCCGGCGAAGGGCCCCAGACATGCCACTAACCGTTATCCTGGAGGTTCCTGGACACTAGCCGACAGGGGGCGCGCGGCGACAAGAACTAGCGGCATGCATGACATGACAGGGATGTGCGAGCCACGCAAACCGCGAAACTCGATCAATTTGAAACTTGAAGCTGGAGGAAGGCAAGAGAGCGAACGCCTTAAACTATCGGTTAACTCGATAGTTTGTTAGTTCTGGATCAACATCGCGATCAAGAGAGATACTAGCTCGAAGAGAGGGGGGTGGGCACGGTCGTCGATAGCTTACTCATGACCTCTCGCTAGCGAGCGAGTATCACTCCATCATCAAGGTTGGCACTATTGGAATCTGAGTCTCGCTCGACCCAAGCGGCCAGAGGTACAGGTGGGCCGGTCGTCCCCATCATTCGATCGAATGATTGGGCTGGGATTTCCGGATCAGACAGTCTTCAGGTCTTTCGAAACCTTCAATGCCTGGATGGGTGGGTATGATAGATGGACGGGGCTGTTTGATTCCCAATCTTCTTAATTTTTTTTTTTTTTTTTTTTTTTTTTTTCGGCTTTTTTGTTTCCCATGATCTTCCCCAGGGCTCCAGGGTTGCCTGCAGGTTGCATCTGCGGCACGGTGCACTTGCGAACGGTTGTTCGATGATCATTCTATGGAAATTCCACCGGCGAATGTGGCAATGGGTCTTCTTTTGATCTGCAGGCTTTGGAAGAGGGAGAGAAAAAAAAAAAAAAAAAAGGAAAAAAGAAGAAGAGATGACAGGTTGAATCTTGTCAGTTTGATAACTACGTTCGGTAAAACAGGACGAGAGAGATAGAGAGATACATGATAGCTCTGGGCTACTTTCGATCCAGAGAGGACTGATTATGCGAGAAGGGAAAATTCAGCTGTACGTTAAATTCCGGCCTATCAGACAAGTAAAAAAAAGGGGCGCCCCCTTCTCGCAGAAGAGCACTCCGCCCCGTGCTCCTCTGCGCTCTCTCGCTCAGCTCTGTGTAGCACAAGCGACGAGGCTTCCCATGATTGGCATTCGTCTGCTGCTCTGTTGGGGGGTGCGGCTGGAAGACGAGAGAAGGGCAGAGCCAGCAGTCGCTTTCTTCAAGTCCGCCTGTGTTCGACAGTCAGACAAGAGGAGCAAGCAACCGGCGATCTCGCGACCAAGCAGAACGCATATCTTTAGTAGAAACCCAGTTTTAGGGCCGCCAGCTGACGAGTTAACATCGCTAGCTGGGCTTCATCGTAGTTTAACTAACCGCCTAGTTTCAACTGCGCTCCGTGCTCCGAACAGCGTCAGATAGGAAAAGGAAGAAGAAAAAATCAAAAAAAAATAAATATACTTAAGACCCTTGCCGGATCTAAAGACAAAGGGCCCGCATCCCGCAAATCCCCACTTTCTCCTGAACTCCTCTGCTTGTCGGTAGTTTCTCTTGAAGAATCTTTTTTTTCCCCTTCTCCGTCCCTTTTTTTTTTCTTCCTTTCCTTCTCGAGGCTTTTCATTTCCCTTTCATCTCTTTCTCCTGCTCATCTCGACTTCGGTGCTGAGGCGGTGTTGCCACTATCTCTCCTGCTTTGACGCCGTCGTCGCAACCGTCGTCCTGCAGCTGCTGCCGCCCCGTCGTCCAATTGAATTTCCTCGCAAGCCAAGGGCTCCTGAGCAAAACTACGACCGTCGAGCGATCATGGGAGTGTCCATGCTGCCGGCGCCCTGAAAATCAAACGACGACTTAAAAACGATAAATATATCAGACAAGGGCTTTCTTTTGCAATTTCGGAGAAAAACACCAGTACCCGCACTGCCCGTTGAATAATTTACATGCCGAAGCGGACTTGGCTCTTCCTCCACGGCTTAAAACGAAGTAGTAAAGATATAACTGCTCCTTGTTGCGTTGTCTCGTCCGTTTCCTTCGTGTAAGTCACCGCTACCCGTCCGACCGCCTCCCGTGTGCAAGGGGGAGGGGTTTTATTTCCATCCCCAGGGTTAAGAAGGAAAGATTAAGTCCCGGGGGGGGGGAGAAAAAAGAAAGGGAAAAACAAATACGGAGTACATCGTGGATGTTTGCAATCCCCCAGTTCTCTGTTGCTGATGCTCCCCAATTGCTTCAGGTACATTGCTCCTTTTTCTCGATTACCGACCTTTTAAATCCACCTATGTCACGCCCGCAGTGAATCCATCTACCCTTTTGTTTTTGGCGCGAGTTGTACAGGCGGCCCCTGGAACCGGCGAAGCTGTTTCTCGCACGAATGAGCTTCCGTGTGGACTTCGAATGAAATTCATTCCCATCCCGCCATGCAGCGCGATCACCCACCTCAGGGATTTGGCACGCGGTCATCCCGGCGAAACCGCAGTTCCAGCTTGTCCACAGACTATAAGAAGATCCCAAAGACGAGCTGCCTACTTTCACCGCCCCTCGTCAACCCGCAACCGCAGTATGTAGTGTCCTCAGCCGTCCGACAGGTGATCACCGCGGATCACAACGCCGCCACAACGGATAGATTCCACAACGAGCGTATCGAGATCACGGATGCGGCGTTGATGCTGCTGAATGGCTTCCTGGACAACCTGCTGTTCAGCATCCTGTTAACCGCCAAATCCACTAAGATCATCGCCATTCGACCGGCGGTGTCCGAGGTGCTGAAGCCCAGATTGGCGAGGGAGGTGGTTTCTGCCGCGGACGATGAGCTGGGTGAATATATCGGAGGAAGCGATGACGAGGATTTCCCAGAGTTCTGCGGTGGCCAGGAACCGTCCGGACATTTCGAGCTGGAAAGGTCGTGGAAGCTGACTCGCCTGAGATGCATGGTGTACTCGAGGTTGGGCGACATGGAGGAGGAAGATGAGGAAGATCACCTCCGCCGAGAAGGCCTGGACGAGAACGGATCCCGTCCCGGTCGGTTTTCCAATCACATTGGACACATCACACCTGCAGCCGCTATTTTTCTTACGTCCATATTAGAATACATTGGCGAGAACGCTCTCCTTATTGTCGCTGAGAATGCACGTAACAGGTCAAGTTACGGGACCCCGAAATCCAACGAAGACCAGTCGGTGGAGGCCCAGATACCCAGGCCTTTAATATTAGACGACGTTGACGTGGAGAAAATAGCTTTGAATCCAACGCTGGGCCGGCTGTGGCGGACTTGGAGGAAGCATTCCAGGCTACCTGGGCTTTCAAGGACCCTCTCGCGGGAATCCCTGTTACGTTCACCACGAAAGACGAGCAGCAGACAGAGCAGCGTTGGCACGCTAGAGACCGTTGACGAACCGCAGCTTCGTCCAATTACCTCCCATCCACCCGTTTCGGAAAACGCCGAGCCAATAGACCCTACCGCCATACCTCTCCCACTATCAGATAACGACGTCGACGAAATTGAGATTCCGGGTTTTACTGCCCAACTTGCTGTAGCGATTCCTGCACGCGCCTTTCGACCACGAAGTCTTTTCATAACGCATAATGATATTAATCCTCGCGCAACCCCAGAGCCGGCCTTGCCCAAATCGGCTTCTGTTCTCGAATACCGCACACATTCGCGATCTCACTCTCTCCCCACCACGCCGCTGAAGGGTAGAGCGGCTCCTCCCAAGAAAGCTCCAGACCTGGTTGTCATTCCGCCGAAGAACGAGGAGAAGGAGGAGGAGGAGGAGGAGGAGGAAGAGGATAATGATTCGGAAACAATGGATGAAAATGCAGAGCATGTTAATATAACTCGAACACGAGGATCCAGTACCCTTGATTGCGAGTCGCGTCCTCAGCGACGTGAGTCCGTGACACTTAATTCTTGTCTTAACGCCGACGATGACATTGGAAGCCCCGTTTCTTCACTGCATTCTGATGCTATTGGAGTGGCGATCGGTCATTCCCAAATATCCGAAGCTCCTTCGCCAGTTTCTCAAATGGACAGTTGGATATCAAAGGGAAGTTCAGAGTATGAAGACTACGAACAACAGCCACAACAACAGCAGCCAGCGTTCACAATTCCATCGGCCAATCAGCCAGCAGCGCTTCACGGACAGCAATCCGGCAGAGAAAAGGAGACACCGATGACCCTTCACCCGACACAACAGCTCCCCGTAGATCTTTATTCGACCGCTCCATCTCCTATCCCGCAAAAATCTCCTTTACGACGTTATGCACATGAGCATCCCACCCCTCCCGCTGAAGGAGATGACACGATAGTCGAGACTGCGTTCGTTTCGCAGCCTAGCAGTTCCGTCTCTCCGCCCCCGAGACTCACCCCTCTCCGGGAACTAGTTGCAACAGCGACCAGTACTCCAGACGAACACTCGCCCAGCCTGCCTGCAGTTTCTCAATCTGCAGCGTCATCCGAGCCGATGTCTGCGTCGAGCAAAAGCGATAGATCTACAAGCTCTCAAGCTAAGCGCATTAATATTAAAATCCCCGTGACTGGCAACACGGTCCACGCGATGACCAACTCTCCTCGAAGTGTCTCTTCCGCGAGGGAGCGCGCTGGAGTGCAGCGTGTTTCCCCTCCTCCGTCTAAATCGCCCAGTGAGCCGGGAGGGATGAGGCCTCGTCGTTCAGAAAGCAATAGTAGTTTTCCCGAACGGAGGCCTATTACGTCCGGCTCCGGTACTTCTCAGGTATCAAGCAAGCTCAAGGGGCTGGTGAGCAGACAGATGACTAGCACATCATTGCGTTCATCTGGGGATGCAAACGGCGACGGAACTTCCGACCTGGACCAGCTTATTGAGAGCGACGAGACTCTTCACTACACGCTGACGCCCAAGACTATGAGGGAAATAGAGGTAAGTTGTCACTAGACGGCTTTACAATTACGTAACCGCGCTAATCCCCGAGCGCAGGATCCTGGTTCCCCCCGGTGGGCATCCGTGCGGACAGGGAGCGTGGATTTGAGAGATTCCGGCAGTGCAAAGGGCTCGCCTACAATTGGTGGCGGCTCAAACGGGCTGCGTATCACCGCGTCTGCACAAAGCCCTCCCAGAGGGCCTGCGCCACAGCCGAGAGACGCTCGTGCAGAGGTGAAATCCGTCCGAGAATTCGCCAACTTTATCAAACACACCGGCCCCGGGCCCAACTCGATGAAGCACACTCCCATCGTCATTCCTAGCTCGACACGGCAAAGCAACATGTCGCACGACTTCACCTCTATGGCCTCACCATCACCCGTATCGTCCCGTGCACAGAGTTCTATGTCGGGATACCTCTCAAGACCCAACCGGCCTCGCCTGGAGGCCCGCCCGGCTGTGGCGCCTAAGGATAACCAGACTTCGGAACTGATCGATTTTATCCGGGAAGGACCTCCACGGGATGGATCGCACCGAATTCCTCGGACTGTCGCACCGTTCCGGACGACGATGGATTCAGATGACTTCCACTCTCTAAGTCCAACACGCCTGGATAGAGACACGTTCACCCATAGCTCCATAGCAAGCACCCAGGATGATTCTGTGGCCGCACGATCTTTCAATTCATCTTTTAATTCGCGTACGGGGCTGCTCGAGGCGGTGAGCCAGGGGAATAATCGGCCGGTTAGACCTCAGGCTCAATTGCACTCTGTACTGGATTCGCCAGTGGATGAAGTTCGGGAACCTGTTCGGACTCGCCGGCGAGTGAGAGATCCATACGCCATCGACACAGATAGCGAAGACGAGTTCGATGAGCAGCCGCGGAGACCTCAGAAAAGGGAAGAAAGCCTGATGGATTTCCTCCGCAATGTTCCCCCGCCTCCGACCAACGACGAACCTCCTCAGCTCCTATCCGTCAACATGCGCGCTGCAAACGCGATGCAGCCCGTCAAACCTAGGTCCAAAAGCACAGCATCCACGATGAAGTCTCGTCTCATGCGAACCACCTCAACAGACAAAGCACCCAAATCTAAACTATCACGATCCTCTTTACGATCCCAGAAGTCCTTCGCGACAAACCCTGTCACAACGACCCCAGCGGATGCGCCCGCCCTCCCCTCACTACACACAACCACGTCATCCGTATCATCCCAGTATTCCTTCCGACAGGAACCGTACGCCCCTAATGTGACGACATACCCTGCACACGTCGATCGCCTTCGAAACGGGTACAACATGGGTCCGCATCCCGCCGACGACATGCGAACACCACCACATTATCGCACTGGTAATTCCGGAACCGCGGCGTTGGCGGATTTTCTTAGAAACACGGCTCCTCCGGAGTCTCCTCAGACGTCTCGCCCGCCTACTTCTTCCGCAAAGGAAAGTGGTGGAGGCCTTGGTTCGTTCTCCAGGGTGTTTTCGCGGAAGAAAAAGCAGGCTATTTAATTTTTTTTTTTTTTTTTTTTTTTTTTTTTTTTTTTTTTAAATTACTTTTTAAGTTTCCTTTGCTTTTTGGCTATTTTCTCTCTCTCTCTCTGGGGGGGCTCTCGGGAGATATGCTATATCGTTGCTTTGGGATAAGGCATCTTTTTTTTAATGTCTCCTATATTTATTCTATTTCTTTATATTTTCCTCTTTGGAGCGCTGCGGCTTTTTTGCCATATGAATGATTCAGGAATTCTTTCCGTTGGAATATCATAGTTTCTTAGAAGAGGACTGTTTTGATTTCGATTTTTGGCACTTCCCTATTATCACTACTATTTTCGCACCAAGCTGGGTCAAGTTTTTCCTTTTCTTTTTCTTCTTTTTCTTTCCTTTTCCTACTCGATTCCCTTTAATCCCACGTTTGTTCATGTATATATTTTATGTACTGGGAAGAAGGATACCTCTTATGTGACGAACGTCAGCCGCTTATTTGGCGGTTGGTTGGTTTTTTGCTCCAATTGCTTCACTCCTTATCTCTCTTTTCTGCCTTATTCTTTTCCAATGCCGTTTACTCTGGCTCTTTAATATCCATCTCTGATATCCTGCCCTCCAAAGACGGTGACGTACGACCCATTTGAGTTTTGTGCTGTACATATATATCTTGCCGTAGCTGAAGGAGGTGCGTCCCTCTGACATGCAATTTCCACGTCGCGGTTTTCTCCTTTTTCTGGCACTGCGAAATCTCTGTTTCTATGCCCTTTGAGGTCGGTGTCTTGTCAGCATCATGGGAAGTTATTATCAGCCCTGTCAAGCGCGAGGCGGATGTGCTTTGCTAGGCTTCCCTCCGTCAAGCTCCGAGGGTGAAGTCTCACATTCGATAATGCGATGGCGTACCCCTTCATCGCATTGGCGTGGATTTCGGGCAGACAGCTTTCATGGTTTCAAGACTTCCCAATACCACCTCAGACAAAATATTGCATTGATACATGCGCCGCTTATCGAATATAAAAAAGAAGTTGGTATGCCTGATACATTTACTTCTTTTTATTTTACCCCTTTTTTATTTTACCCTTTTTTTTTTTTTTTTTTTTTTTTTTTTTTAATTTTCCCCTTCATTCTACCCTAGGTTATCACATCAATGCAAGTCATCCACGCCGTTGCCCGCCGGCCGTCCAGCACTTGTCGTGGGCCTGTTCGCTTCCTCACCATGCTGCTGCCTCTTTCTCGGCAGGCGGAAACAATGCTTTTTGACGGTCGAAGGAGCTACCCATTCCGGCCGGGATGCACCGCTCTCTCCAATCGCGGGCAAGCCACGACAGACACCTCTCGTGCCTACAAGACTCTGCTGCTCTCTAACTCCCTCATCCATTGTCAGACCTTCACTACTCCTTTCTTGATATCTACCTGATACAGAGGGAAGAAAGGACTCCCGGCTTTTTATTCACCTTAACCATACGTCTTGAGTTCATCTCAGCCATGTCAAGTATGGAGAAGAAATGCTATGCTGTGGACCCGGACGGAGATGTTGTGCTGCTGGTGCGGCAGCAGGAAACGCCGTTTGCTGCGTGGGAGGGGGGCGCGTCAAATCCGTCTAAGGTAGAGGGGTCCAATTCCCCTTACCCTCCTCTGCAGCGAAAACCTTCAATTTTGAAAGGAGACAAGAAGGGAACGGAGCACAAAAAAGGTAGAAAATCTGCTGATTTCATCAAGGAACCCGTGTCTGCCGAAGGTCCCATGGCTGTCCACGATCCTGAGCCGATTGAACCGAATTCTCATGCTGATCAAAACCAGGCTAGCCAGCCATCTACTCCTGCGAAATCCACGCCATGGAAGTCGGCCAATAACTCTACTGATTCCTCTCAATCAGAAAATCTTGCGACACAAGATGAGTACTCATGGTTTAAAGTCTCTCCGCGCCACCTGATGCTGGCTTCGCCGCACTTCAAGGAAACGTTGACTGAAGGAGGGAGAAAAGCGCATATTCTGGATTCTGATGGATGCATAACCATCCGAGAAGACGGCAGAGACCCAGACGCTATGTTGCTTCTGATGAACGTTATCCACGGACGCACACGCATGGTCCCGCGAGAGATTACCCTTGAGATGCTCGCTAAAGTTGCTGTTCTCGTTGACGTGTATCAATGTTCCGAGGTTGTTGCGGTATTTTCAGACATTTGGATTCAGCGATTAACCGTCCCTTTTCCAAACACCTATTCTAGGGATCTCATTCTATGGATTTGGGTCGCTTGGGTGTTCCGAAAGCCAGAGGAGTTTCAGCTAGCTACACAAATTGCCCTGTGCCAAACTCCAGGACCACTTCCGACCCTTGGGTTGCCAATTCCACAGAAAGTAATTGGTAAGGAGTCTGAGGTTTTACGTATTCTTTGGGTGCTAATCGGCCGTTTAGATACGATCGATGAACAGAGGAAGGATTCCATTGACCAGATAGTGGAACACCTCCATGGACTTCGACAAGATTTCCTTGAGCAACAGGAGTCATGCTCCTTTGAATGTAGTTCGATGTTGTTCGGTGCGCTTACTATAGAGATGCACAGGCGGAATCTTCTTCCACGGACTGCATCGCCTTTTCCCGGTGCTAGTTTCGCGAAGGTTGTCCAGAGTGTTCGCCTGATCCGATCTCCCACGTGGTGCCCTGTTGCCGGATGGGTCTCGTTTAATTCCACTTGCAGAGCGCATGGCTGCATTCTGAGCAAATTTATCGATCCGGTGATTGAAGGCCTGGAACACGATCTGGCGGGATTAGAGTTGAATGATATCGAATGATTGAAATTTGATGCTTACAAGAGTTTATTGCCAAACACTCAGCCCGCAGCGAAAGGGACAAGGATGGGTTATCAGCATTGCAAATGAAGACACTTTTCTGGAGTATGGATCACTTTGAATGTTACTTTCTATCTTATTAGCGAACAAGGCAAAATTCTATGTCTTCTAGTAGTCAGCTATCTGTTCTGAGTTAGTGTAGGAGGGTTGGCTGAGGCCATCCTAGTTCCATCAAGTATACACAATAAGATGGTTTTGTTTGCTTTTGTTGGAATATGTGGCCAGTGGGTCAGATAAGTGATGTCCATCTCTTATATCCAGCTTGTATTCTTTCTTTTGTCTTGTTGTTCATTGGTTAACTTCTATCCAAATCATTGATATCAGCATTGGCTGCTTCATTGGACCAGATGATGAATTTAGTGCCCTGAGTTTTTGGAGATAGCACAGCTGGCACAGCAGATATCATAAGTTAGAGGGATCTGAAATGAGGAGACTTGTGGAAAAGAGAGCCTACAGATTCACAGAATTACTGCTGAGAATGAAAAACGGTATACGCCGTAGAGCAGGTATGTATTTGGGTGCAGAGCGCGGAAAATCTTGCTTCCGGCGACCGAAGCACTCGGCCTCCTGAACCAACCAACAAAAGTGTACCGTGGCATCGAGCTGCAACAAGCTATAGACGTTCACGCAATTCCCCCTTCGAGGACGCTATCTTCATCCAAGATGGGTTCTACGGATGTGGGCCTCCGGTGCCTTTTTCGCAGATTACTGCTCCTTTGCATCTTCATCTCCGTTTCTAATGCCTTGAGATTCGACCTTATTGCCAACACACATAGCGGGAAGCACGAGCGATGTGTACGCAACTTCGTCAATCGGGACCAGCTTGTCGTTGTGACGGCCATTGTTAGCGGGCAGAAGGGGGATGGACAGGTTGTGAATATGCATGTATGTTGGGGATTTCCTTGCTTTCTTTCCTTTTCCCCTTTCCCCTGTCTTTGATCTGTTTACCCTGGTGTCCCCGAGTTCTCCGAAAAGGAACTAAGCTAATGCTTTCGCCTATGGATGCGCAGATTAAAGATTCCGTGGGGAATGAGTACGGTCGTCCGAAAGATGTAGTGGGCGAAACTAGACAGGCTTTCACGGCCTCCGCCGACGCCTCTTTCGATGTGTGCTTTTCGAATATCCTCGTTGGCCGATGTGCGTTTCATCCCCTCGTTCCCCTTCTTACATCGATCTTCTCTCCGTTTATTGGATGAATTTTCTAACAATTTCGTCGCGAGTAGCATCCGGAGCTCTTCCCCACCGCAGTGTTGAGCTAGATATCGATATTGGCGCTGATGCCCGGGACTGGGACGCCATCAAGGTCCAAGAGAAGCTGAAACCCGTCGAAGCCGACCTGCGCCGTATCGAAGCCATGGTTGGCGAGGTTGTTACGGAGATGGATTATATGCGTCTGCGGGAGCAGAAGCTGAGAGACACAAATGAGAGTACGAATGAGCGCGTCAAATGGTTCGCGTTTGGAACAATGGGTATGTTGCTGGGGTTGGGCGCTTGGCAGGTCGTCTATTTGAGAGCGTACTTTAGGTGAGTCCCCCTACGTTTCTGCAGTTCTCCATGTTTGTTTCCTGTCTTCAAGGAGGAGGGACAAGGACGGGTTAGCAGCTGGTGATGTGGAGGAGCCATGGGCTGACGCTACTGGCAAAATAGATCGAAGCACCTTATCTGAGTTCGTCGATTTGCTCTTTTGCTTTTGGTGTTTATACCCTTTACCAGCAATGGGAATACATATAAAAGGTTTACACTCTGGCGAGAGGGGGATGGTTTCCTGAACATGTTTCTTTGTCTTTGCGTCTCATGGCTACGGTAACAGGCGATGAAATTCATGGTTGTGCTCCCGTATGTTGGAATACATATTAATATAACGATGATATGCCTTGACATAAACTTCTTTTCTCCCAAATCTGGACGTTTTTGCATGTATTCAGACCCAAGGAAAGATGAGTATCATGTTTGGAACATGGTCCTGTGGGATTAAACTTAGTAAATATACTCCACTATGCTCTCGAGCCATTTAGCCGCCCGGTTGAGGTTTATGCTTCAACTAACTTCTATGTACGAAGTATTTGGTTTAAAGAGCACCTCGTATACGCTGTTATCAAATGGTGTGCCGGCGGAAAAGGCCGAAGTGCTTAGTGCAAACATACCAAACAACGAAAGCGTCCAATGGCGTAACCGGCCTTGATGCGCAGAAAGAGCCGGCAATGAATGCATCTTTGACCTCTCCCTGCTAGGAAAATCAAGAAGTTCAGTGAAAGATAAGCCTGCCAAAATGAATAGCTCTCGAAGTATCTGTCGTTATTTAGGACATTTCACCTCGTCTCGGTTTGGGCGGAGTATCTCCCCTCGACAACCCAGCGGATTCGAGCTGTTCACATTACCACCTCGGTGCTTATCAACGAGCAATGCTTGGTTAAATAACAATGGATCGTCACAGCCAGTCTCCTCCTCGTCATCAGGAGGACAAGGGCGAAGCGGCACACCGAGAAGGCATGAACTGGAGTTGGGTGAGATGGAAGGGATCACATTCAAAGTTGAGCCGTTGAGGAGAACGGGAGAGGACGTGGCAACGATGAGAGCGCGGCTATTATGTTTGTCATCCCACCTGTTGATACTCTTTCCCCGATGTGCGGAGCTGCATCGCTGACTCTCACCGCGGGAATAAAAAACAAAAGATCAATCCCGCAAACGTGGAACCCTTGAATCAGATCTACTCCTATCAACCTTTGCCGCCACAAACCTTTCCACCATGTCCAAGTCCCAATTGGAAGAGTATGATCGCTTCCTCGATGAAAATGACTGGGATATATACTACTGGGCTACGCAAGAACCTCCCGCGCCCGGCACCGAGCCTGAAGCCGATGCAAAGCCAAAGGATGCTGTCACCGACACCTGGAAGAACGGAGCTGCGAAGAGTGGGGAGTGGGCACAGACGGTGGGTGCGTTCAAGCCGGCCTACAGACCGGTGCCGGAGAGGTGGGCGGAAAGTGAAATTCTGAAGTTGCTGAGAGAGCACGTCAAGGATAAGAGTGCGCTGGGGGAGAAGAGCGGTGACAAGGCCACTGGGGGGGGCCTGGGAAGGATGCCCAACATTGAGGTTTTCAACTCGTAGGGCTGGATATGGAGGTTGTCTCAATGTATGTACTATAATTACCCCATTGCATGATCGGTGTCCCAGGCATAAAGTACTCCGTATATAGATTTGAGAAAAATTGTATATTAAAGCTGTACCATGAAGATGCCTCGCGCTTATAATATGTAGGTCATCTGAAAAGAGTGGTGATATATAAGTATATATGGGGACGCGCGATGTACATCCCTGCAGCTTCGACCAGAACAAGTTAACGGGTCGTTCCCTCGAAAGCGGTGACAGAAGGGGCGAGCTCCCCGGGAGCGCAAACTTGGCTCACAGCTGCTCCCACACACGCCGGAACTCCGCCGTCGCGACTGTGCTGGTGCCGCTGGACGTTGCGGTGGTCGAAAAAGCTCCCGCTGCAGGGCGGACGGGGAAGGTCTCGCTTAGTTCCCAACTAGGCCTAGCGCGCACAACGACCCCCCGACCCAGCAAATCAGCGTGCGCTTAGGGCTTCTGTGTGCGTCTTTGCTCCCTCGACAATTTGCGAGCAACCGACAGCGCTTCATAAAAACCAACCCCCATTGCTCGCCCACCCTCGCAATCCCTCCCGCCCACCGTCGAGGTTTCTTTAAGACTCTCTCAGGCTTCGAGCACAGGTCTGCATAGCAATCATGGCTGAGCAGTTGGTTCTCCGTGGTACCCTTGAGGGCCACAACGGCTGGGTTACCGCCCTGGCGACTTCAATGGAGAAGTAAGATGAAAAACGCATCTGTCCTTGCGGATCTGGCAATTGGGATCATGTACACGCAAACGAGAACCAATGGGATGCTGACAGTCTCTCGATTTTAGCCCTAATATGCTCCTCTCCGCCAGTCGCGACAAGACTTTGATCATCTGGAACTTGACCCGTGACGAGACCGCATATGGATACCCAAAGCGAAGCCTCCACGGCCACTCTCACATCGTCTCTGACTGCGTATGTTTCTTTTTGCCTGGAAAATGACTGCTTGCTGCAAACTTCGGCTTGGAAATAATCGTTCGTGCATGGCTAATTGGTTACACGTTGTTCCGTCGCATAGGTCATCTCCTCCGATGGTGCTTATGCTCTCTCCAGCTCCTGGGACAAGACTCTTCGTCTGTGGGAGCTCTCCACCGGCAACACCACCCGCACCTTCGTCGGCCACACCAACGATGTCCTCTCCGTCTCTTTCTCTGCCGACAACCGCCAGATCGTTTCCGGATCTCGTGACCGAACGATCAAGCTCTGGAACACCCTCGGAGACTGCAAGTACACCATTACCGACAAGGGCCACACCGAATGGGTTTCCTGCGTCCGCTTCAGCCCCAACCCTCAGAACCCCGTCATCGTCAGTGCTGGCTGGGATAAGCTCGTGAAGGTACGCTTGATCTTGTGTTCAGATATCGCTTTTGTTCTACGAAAACCCTCCCAAAGGATGTTTTGCAACCTTAAAAGTATTTGCTACTTCAGAGCCCCGTTGGGCCATGAGACAATCATCACCAATTGCCCTGATGGAAATCACGTTAACATTCAATGTGTTCTGCGCATACATCTTTTCTTTTTATCGGCATTTCTTGCTAATTTGTAACACCAGGTCTGGGAACTCTCCACCTGCCGCATCCAGACCGACCACATCGGTCACACTGGTTACATCAACACCGTCACCATCTCCCCCGACGGCTCCCTCTGCGCCTCCGGCGGCAAGGACGGAATCACCATGCTCTGGGATCTTAACGAATCCAAACACCTCTACTCCCTCCAGGCCGGAGATGAGATCCACGCCCTTGTCTTCTCTCCCAACCGGTACTGGCTCTGCGCTGCTACCTCCAGCTGCATCACTATCTTCGACTTGGAGAAGAAGAGCAAGGTCGATGAGCTTAAGCTCGACTTGGTCGAGGGTGGCAAGAAGAGCGGCGAGCCTGAGCCAATCTCCTTGGCCTGGTCCGCGGATGGCCAGACTCTCTTTGCTGGTTACACTGATAACAAGATTCGCGCTTGGGGTGTGATGTCGCGGGCATAGAAACCGAACTAGGTGTATCCTAGAAAATTGTTAAATCAGTAAACAAGTAATGGGCTGGGATGGACGAGCGATGAGCAATGACTTTTTTCCTCGAAATCACAAAAGAAACCAACGGTTGGAGTTTGGGAACGATAAAAGAATGGAAACTTTTGAAGAGTGAAGATTCCGTTCTTTCGTTGGTCCCCTTTTCCAAATGTCGGATATAAAAGGGCGTCCTGGTCCAACGAGGGTAGGAAGAGTAATTAGCCATGGATACGGGGGTTGGTGTGTCTCCCAATTTACTGGCTTCCTTTCTATTTGTCCTCTACTTTTTCCTTGTTGTGCACTTGTTGGTAGATATACGGAGTAAATCCCGTTATGTTCAACTAGGCTCCTTTTTTCCCAAGCTGTCCTTGGTCCAATATCATTTCGTAGACTGCTCCGTGTAGAGTGTGCCGACCCAGTTACCAACCGGAAGGCCTCCCTTATCACAAGATCCCACAGTTGTACCTATAATGTACATACAATACATGTTTTATATTCCCCAAAACATATCACAGAAAAAGCATGCCGAACTACCTTATCATCTATGCTGCTCTCACGCCTGCTTTTTTAGCCTTTCCAGCCCTTCATTTGCTCTGCTCACGCCTTCAGGGAATTGGATTTTCTTCGCTATCTCCCGAGCCTCTCCATAATACTTCTTTGCCTCGCTAAAATGGCCCTGCATTTCCGCGATCTCTCCTAGATTGTAGGTCGCAGTCAGACAGCCTTGATCGCATTCTTCAGTACGCACTGGCGGTTGAATCTTGTCCGCCACATCGAGAGCTTTCTTGGCCCATTCCGAGGCCGCGTTGAGCAATTGGTCACGCGATACGGGAGGCATATGGGTCCCCGATGTGGTTTCCGCAGGAGGCGGGGTTGGATTCTGGGCCTGTTCCGCCATCTGGCTTGAGATATTGTTCAGTAAAACGACCTGGGCGCATGTGCTCGGTCGATCCTGCTGGTCTTCTTTGATCAGGGAGAGGGACTGCATGTACAAAGCCGTCGAGAGGTCGCTCCGACCTCTTTCAGCGTAGAAGTCTGCGAGTTCGTTGAATGCAAATGCTACCTCAGTGAGGTTGAGGTAATAGTCGCCGTCTCCTTGGGAAACGGGGAGGTTCATTTCCCGGCGGTGCTGAAGCTCGGCGCGGCTTAGGTCAACGGCCGAGAGGAGTGCCTTTTCGGCTTTGTCTGTCTCTCGCACATAATCACTTGAGTAGAGTTCTGCAATCTTGACCCCGACTCCGGCGGCTCTTTTCATGACGAAACCACGCCGTCGCTCCTCCTCTGCCTCCTTTTCCTGTTCTGCCTTCCGCTCCTCTCCCGTGCCAGTGGGGTCGTCTATCCGGTCTCCATCCCTTGCCCGTTCTCTGTTCCTGATCATCTGCTTTCTCCTCCCGTTCTGCACCCATTCAAGACAGTCCTTCTGCGTCTTCTCTAGTACTTCAATGGCTGGCTTCATCATCCCCGCTTTCTCCAACATATGAGGAATCTGCAACCTAATCCCCAACACTTCCTCCGAAAATGGGTGCATGCCCAGCTGATCCGCAGCAATCAATGCCTGCTTATACCAATGTAGGGCGCGAACGGGATTTAGTTCGAATTCGGTGTAATATATGGCTTTGCGTAAGCTGTCACCCACGGGTTTGGGGAAACGCGAGAATTGAGGCTCCACGCGAGTGATGTGGTCGTATAAGAGGTATATGAGGCCGCTTGTCATGCTAACCGCAAAAAGAAGGGTTGCGGTCATACCAATGGGGCGTTCGCGCCAAACATGTTTCCTGGCTTCGTTGAAGTTGTCCCGGAAGCGGGAGAAGAGGGTATAAGGTCGAGATTGGGTTGGATGAAGATATCGGGGAGAGAATTGAGGTCGAGACATGGCATTAGGTCGGTAGGACAGGGGGTTCCCTTGCGTTCGGCTGCTGAAGAATCGGGATGGGATGATGGCGGGAGATGGGCCAGGCGGCGGGGAGGCGCCAATGCGCCGGAGGGTTTGGTTGAGCATTTGTAGACTTCAAATATATTATGACGGCATAGCAGAATTGAGGTTATTAATAAAGTCTAGCAAGCCATAATACTTCAGATAAAGGGGTTGGTTGCACTTGAAAAAGATGGCTGTTCCGTATGGAACTGGGAGTCGGAGAGAGCCTCTGAAACTTTCGACGCTTTTGATCAAGCTCCGATGACGTCTTGGCAGAGGGAAGTTAAACCGGACTTCGGACAAAATGGCATGGATCAGTACGGAGTACAGGGTTACTGACGCACGCGGTTTGTTGTCGGAAATGCTATCACATTTTACTTGAAGCCGTTCGATAAGACTGGTTGTTTATCTACGAGACGGGACATTTTCATATCGCGACGATGTGTGGTCGATATGCGTTGGGCGTTGTATGCAATACCGTTGATTCTACATGGGTCTTCCCCGAACCTTTTCGTGAATGAATGATATCTGACTGTATCTAGCGCCTCGCCTTCATTAGACACCAACTGCAACGTCAAGGCCAGCAAGTGGATGAAGTTCCAGATGACGACGACGTGAGAGAAACTTACAACTTCGCCCCTGGGTACTATGGTGCCGTCTACCGCGCTGATACCCCTGACCAGGGGGGATATAATCCTGCTGAGGCATACGACGGAGGACATCATGCCGCAGAGCATAAGATGCCGGAAGATGAGGGCAAGGCACAGCTGACTAGTGGAGGAATCGAAGACGAACGTGTCAAGTATAAGCTTCAGAGTATGAAATGGGGTCTTGTTCCATTCTGGACGAAACGGTCACCAAATTATGGCTCGTTGATGAAAACTATCAATTGTCGAGACGACTCTCTGGCTGAGAATAAGGGGATGTGGACGTCCATGAAAAAGCGGAAGCGCTGTGTAGTTGTTTGTCAGGGGTTCTATGAATGGCTAAAAAAGGGTAAGGAAAAGATTCCACATTTCATTCGCCGGAAAGATGGCGATCTGATGTGCTTTGCCGGATTATGGGACTGCGTCAAGTATGACGGTATGTATAGCGGCCGCCGGGAGCTTAAGATTTCCTAAAAAAGAATTTTTATTAACACTATATCCAGATTCCGATGAAAAACTCTACACTTTTACAATAATCACGACTTCTTCAAATGCCTACCTGAGCTTTATACATGACCGCATGCCTGTTATCCTGGAACCGGGAAGCCCAGAAATGGCCGCATGGCTTGATCCCCATCGGACCACTTGGACTAAAGAACTGCAGTCCATGCTGAAACCCTACCAAGGGGAGCTGGAAGCATACCCGGTGAACAGAGATGTAGGGAAAGTGGGAAACAACTCTCCCGACTTTATTATCCCGATCAATAGCCAAGAGAACAAGAAGAATATTGCCAACTTCTTCGCGAACACACAAAAGAAGGCAAAGGCTGAGGGACCGTCATCACAGCCCGGCAAGGTAGTGAATGAAATCGAGCAGCTAGAGAAGGATTTAAAATTTAAATCAGACCTCGAACCTGAATCACAGGAAATATCTAAGGACAAGGGACCTATGACCGAATCTGCGGGGACCAAGCGCGGATATCCGGTCGACGAAGCGGCAGACGTTAAGCCAGCCAAAATTCCTAGGACGGGAGACACCTCCAAGTCGCCAACCAAGCGTGCAGCTTCAATATCACCGGTGAAGGCTACCATTCCAGGAAGGAAAACGCGCAGTGCTACAAGCAACGGTTCAGCCGCTGGCAGCGGCAAAACGGCCGATGCGAAGCGAGCTGCGCGTGGAAGTCAGCGGATCACAAGTTTCTTCAAGAAGTGATTTGCCAATTACGGCGGATAGAAGAGCTAACGCTGCGCTACATCCTCGAATCTCCCCGTGTTCCCCCGGGCGTATCCTCCTAACCAGCGCCTCTCTCTCGCCGAAGCATCCGTGCCCATCGAATTGAGTCCTCGGCTGTGCCTGGCGGAATGACGTCAGCCTGACTCAGCCCTTACCTAAGCCCGCTCTCCCGCGATTGCGCTCCGTTCTTCGGCTCAGCTTCACCGCCGCGCCGGCTGCTTCCCCGCATCGCCAACGCCTGCGCAGCGATCACGACGGACGGCGCCCCGGCCAATTGGTGATGTTTGCGCGCTTATGGCCGTTTAGGCTTGAAACTCTCGGTTTTCCGGACTTGCCGGATTTTCATCCCGACTCCGGCTAACTACCCCAGATCGACACGGCAGAACCCTACCTTAATAGCCTTGGACGTAGTTCTCCCGGCGGATATATAACTTGAATGCTTGTCTACCTAATCTGAGCTTCATTTTGGCGTGTCTTATTGCATTGGCTTGCGTGTTTCCTACTGCATTATTATCGGATTGAGACTAGCTACGCTCGAGTCACTGAGCCGGTCGCGCCGGTCGACATCGACCTTCATCCACCCCGTTTTCTCTTCCTCTACTCCCGTTTACAAGCAAACTTCGTTCCTTTTCATCATGTTGTTATCTTTTCTTTTTAACCCGTATGTTCTTGCGGGGATTTTCATCTTTGTGTTTTATATTGTGCCCTATCTACGGCTTTCGTACCTGCGTGATATCCCTTCGCCATTCGCTGCCGGGTTCTCCAACCTCTGGCTTTTATATCAATGTCGAAGGGGAAAGAGATATCAGGCTGTGCATGACGCTCATAAGAAATATGGAAAACTCGTGAGAATTCAGCCAGACCATGTCTCCGTCGCCGACGCCGATGCCATCCAGACCATCTATGGTCATGGAAATGGTTTCCTGAAATCGTAAGTGTAATCGAAACTGTACATAAGCTTTGTTTATTATCGCACCTACTTTCCAATTGAGCGAATCTCTGCTCGTTCCATTTCATCCCATGTGCTAAATTCTGCCTGCGTAGTGAGTACTACGATGCTTTCGTGTCCATCCGTCGCGGGCTCTTTAATACTCGCAGTCGGGCCGAACATACTCGAAAACGGAAGACTGTTTCCCACACCTTCAGTGCCAAATCAGTAGGCCAGTTTGAGCAGTATATCCATGCCAACCTGCAGCTTTTCTTCCAGCAATGGACCAATATTTCTGAGGTGCAGCGAAACCCAAAATCCGGATATGCATCGATTGACGCTCTGAATTGGTTTAATTATCTTGCCTTTGATATCATTGGCGACCTAGCATTCGGTGCCCCATTTGGCATGCTTTCAAAAGGGAGAGACGTGGCGGAGATGAGAAAATCGCCGGATTCCCCGGCTTCGTACGTTCCTGCCATTCAAGTTCTCAACCGGCGCGGAGAGGTTTCAGCAACTTTGGGATGTTTCCCCGCTCTGAAACCGTTTGCGAAGTATCTCCCAGATAAGTTCTTCCGGGATGGGTTGGAAGCAGTGGAGCACCTGGCTGGTATTGCGGTAGCACGTGTGTCCGAACGTCTTCGCCCGGAGGTGATGGCGAAAAATACTCGAGTTGATCTTCTATCTCGCCTGATGGAGGGCCGTGATGAGACTGGTGCAAAACTCGGCCGTGAAGAACTCACTGCCGAAGCATTGACACAACTCATTGCAGGTTCAGATACGACTTCTAACACCTCTTGCGCCATGCTCTATTGGGTCTTGAGAACTCCGGGTGTCATTGAGAAGTTGCAAGAAGCCTTGGACGAGGCAGTTCCGGCCCACGTCAACGTCCCATCGTTCTCTATGGTCAGAGACATTCCTTAGTATGTGGCTATCATATCATCTGTTCATTCTATTAAACCAAACATCTAACCACCGTTGTTAGCTTACAATGGGTTATTTGGGAAACGATGCGCATCCACAGCACTTCGTCTCTCGGTCTTCCTCGCGAAATCCCACCAAATTCGCCGCCGGTCACAATCGAAGGCCATGTTTTCCACCCAGGAACTATCCTCTCAGTTCCCGCTTATACCATCCACCACTCACCAGAGATCTGGGGACCCGATGTGGAAGAATTCGTCCCAACTCGGTGGGATCCCGCTCGACTAACCCCACGACAGAAGGCGGCATTTATTCCCTTCAGCTATGGTCCACGCGCCTGCGTTGGAAGAAACGTTGCGGAGATGGAGCTCCATTGTATTGCAGCAACGGTCTTCAAAAATTTTGAGTTCCGGTTGGAGCAGGATGGTCCCATGGAGACCTCCGAGGGTTTCCTGAGGAAGCCCCTTGGGCTGATGGTCGGCATTAGGAGGCGACAGCCAAACTTGAACTAACAGTCAAGGCTGTAACATCGAATATATGATTATTCTCCATGAGAAAAAAAAAAGCGTCTATATGGGCAGTTCATAAGGTGGGATCGACCAAAAGGAGGCATGCCGGGAGCTATGCCATATTGAAGGATGAATTTCTGTGCTATCGATGGTGGACTTCTGAACTTGTTTCGGGATGGCTATATGGCCAGCACATGTGAATTGTGTACCTAAGGAATAAGTTGGGGGTTGTATTTAGGAAGAGTTTCTCAGGTCTTTTTCGTACGAGCTTTGTCTTCTATCTCAACATCATCACACTTTCTACCGCCGACTTTCAGAGCTTATATTACAAACTGCAAAGGCAAAAATGAAAAAGCAGAATCAGCCATCAGTGTGCTTCCTTATCCACTTCAGAACCCATTCGACCAACATTCCCAAATCCTCGCAGGTCTCGAGTACTCTCGCAATTTGTGACCGTAGTTTCCTCTTTTCATCTTCGCATTTTTCATTGGATGTGTAATCGGTAGCATTACTAGGCAATATGCCAGAGGTGTGTGATATATTAATCTCTCCATTGAGACCGATGTCTGCACCAATCATGACCTGCCGGGAGGCGATTCGCGTCAACAGCGGAGCTGAGTCTGAGCTCCTCATCTGATTATCCTCGTTGATGTTGAAAACAAGCAGTACTGTAGGTGGGAGAGACATTGGTGTTCTAAGCGAGATATCGACGCGGACTTCGTTTGCAGGAGGTGTAGAAATCGCTGTTGGGGGCGGCTTGAAGCCGTTATTTCTTCCGCTTCTCAGCAGCGAATTAAGTCTGCATTCCGTAGGGTTGACATTGCTGATGAAGTATCCATTCGGTCTGGATTCTTGGAAGAGTTGAGGAACTGACTTTTCTCCTGGTGTTCTCTGGGTGTCGCTCCTGGAGGCCGTTTGGGAATCAGAGAAAATTCGTCGTAAAAGACTGGAAATAAATGCATATTGTCGCAGGATCTTTTCATTAATTAGCATGGTTTAATACAGATTTGAAAGCGGGGAACGGTTAGGCTACTCACAGGAAGCACATCGGCTAATTGACGCGGATGCGAAAAGGGTATATCACGAATTGTGCGACCCGGTACCTGTTCAAAAGTATTGAACGTATAAGTATGTTGCTGTTTGACCGGTTTTCCATCCGCGCCGAATGTAGATATCTCTCTTTTTTGCATAACCTGTCTCCCCTCGAATTCAATAAAATTAGAATCACCTTGTGAAGGAACCACAAGGCTGTCGTAGGTAGTAGTCTTGGATTCCTGCATCATATTCGCCCCTATGGCTCGATAAATCTCGACAGCAGCAAATATGGGCATGTCAACTGGCGGCTCAAGCCGTGCGACGAAGCGTATATTGGGCGCCGTTGAGGATAATATGGTCGGTTCGAGAGCCACAGAATCCGGATTGTTGCTCAGAGGAGATACTAGTGTAGGCGGGGGTTCCGTCCAATTAATCATTCTAATCTCAAGTTCGTTGTCGCCGCCATCCTCATTTCTAATCTCTGTAAAGACGTCTGCTGAGACCCATTCTTTCGACACGCGAAGAGACGGGTATCCGGTTTCACATTCGATAGCGGCACTGTAGAAATTAGCTTTGTCGGGAACCTCTTCGTCATCCTGTGCTGGCAGGTCGGTGTCCATCGCATTACTCGGCGGGACTTGTTTGGCCTCAAACATGCGCCTTTGATCAACCCAATACCTAAGCATCAATCCAACGTGCTTTCCTCCATGCATAGATGGTTTTCCAATCCATCCTTTGCATATATGATCCAAGTGGATTTGCCGCGTTCCATGTTTCTTCTCTTCGTCCCAAATCCTTCTCAAGCATTCATAAATCCCTTCGACAGCCTCAAAACAATTGATTTCTCTGCTCAACTGGTCCAATCTCGCTAGCCGCCGCAAATTTTCATGGAACTCTGCCATGGACTTCCAATGTCCACCTTCCTGTTCTCCAGGACCCTGCATCAAATTCCTCTTCAACACTTCCGACGCCTCAACTCTCCTTTCCCCTTCCGGCGCGTCAGGAGTCGCATATCTCAAGGTAACATTCTTAACAATCTCCTGACCGGGTTCAAACTCGACTTCCAAATCGAGAGAATTTCCCGCTATGCTGAGATCGTTATCTTGCCACATACACTCCAGGCCTTCCAGTTTACCCAACCTCTCAATGCCCTCGCGACACACGCCTCGACCGGCAACACGCGTCCGAAGTAGCTGCAAAACCTCGTCTATACGTTTCCTTTTCTCGTCCTCGATATCCTTTGGGCCGGTTATACCCAGTGACGGAATCGCCATGGAGTGCAAGTCGCCCTCATTGATGCCTTGGCCACCAAGGGCGTCATTGGCCGCCGGAGACGGCGTAATTCCACCCAGCCCAAGCGCTAAAAGAGCTGATGGAGAGCTGAACACGGCCACATCTTCTATTGCGGCCGACGTGATGGGGAGAGGCGTGGGATACTGGTGTGACGACGTGCTGGGGTAGTTCTGATGCCCCTGGCCTGAAGCGGAGGGCGTCTTCATGGAAGGAGACTTGTGTGATAGAGGGCGGCCCATGGGTACGGCTGACGGGTGAGGAGAAGATGTGAACTGGGTGGGAGTGGCGCCCAGATTGCTCTTTGAAAACGGCGTTGCCATCGTGGGAAAGAGTAAAGGATATAGCCCCGACTTCTTCAAAAAAGTGGATTTACCTCAGACAAAAAGAAGTAGCTACCATAAAATTTCCGGTGATAAAGGTATCCAAGGAAAGGCTCTCAGCACAGGCAGCTAGGGCGCGAGCTGAGAGCATGGGAGCATGTATTAGTATGTATTTATATCCGTCCAATGCTCAAAGTCAACCGTGCTCTGAGCCCTTCAGAAGCTCATTCCAAGAAATCAATCACAACGCCATTGAATGTATCAGACTCTTTGAATTGCACAAATTACACTTTTGTTTGCAAATCAGGACTATTATTGTAAGTAGTGTTGACTCTTTTGAGGTATGAGCTGATGAAGACTGATGATGTTCATCGGACTGCTTGCCGCTTTTGCAGGGATTTAGTGCCGCTTTTAGTTAGTTAGTCACTTAACCAGTTGTAGCCAACTCAGCCAGTTAACTAGTTACCTCCTGGATGCACTTATAGTACGGAGTACTCTGGAAAAAAATATGCTAGACTATCACAACCAACATGAATTCAAAGTTTCATAGATCCTTATTCATATCCAAATTGGTGTATTTACAGGAAGCCAATAGCTCTGTTAGATATGTTCTTTGGAGCTTGGAAAATAACAATATTTTCAGTCGAAAAGAGAAGACAAAATATGTGCAGGATCCATCTAGCTGTACAAAACTAACTCGGGTGTCCAGCACACGACCACACACTCTCAGGAACCATTCTATCTCGCGTAATGTGTATTTCCAAAATCATTGACTTGCGAGAGATTGAAGATTTAAGCCATTTACTGACCGTTGCCGTTGTAGGTAAGCTTGTTGGTGGTGCCGGCGCCTGGGTTGTTGATGACCTCGAGACCAAGCTCCTTGATACGGTCACAGGCGGCGCTGGCGGTGATGTTCTCAAGGGCGATGAGGTAAGCGCCCATACCGGCAATGTGAGGAGCAGCCATGGAGGTTCCGGACAAGGTCTGGGTGCCACCGCCGGGTGCGAGGGAAAGGATCTCCTCTCCAGGGGCGTAGATGTCAACTGCATTACGGATTAGAGCTATAAATTAATAAAGGCTTGAACTATTAGATGCGTACCGACGGATCCAAAGTTGGAGAATGAGGCCTTCTGGTCGTTGATGTTAGAGGCGGCGACTGTGCAGACGGTTGGCTCGGAGGCCGGGGAGCTGTTCTCGGCATCTTCCTGTAGGCAAATCAGCGCAAATTCCCAAGTAACTAGACTGCATCACTGCGATCTCAGCTCCTTTGACAACTTACGTTGTCGTTTCCGGCGGCGACAGCAACATGGAGACCAGCCTGGACGGCGTTGGCGACAGCCATGTTGGTGGTGTCACTTCTGGCTCCACCCAAGCTCAAGTTGATGACGGCTCTCTCGGCAACATTGTTTTCCATCGCATGGTTGACGGACCAGTCGATACCGGCGATGACTCCGCTGTTGGAGCCAGATCCCCGTGCATCGAGCACCTTAACAGCGATGATTCTCACTTTCTTGGCAACGCCGTATGTCAGCGAGCCAATAGTACCACCGACGTGGGTACCGTGACCATTGCCATCAGTATCATCATCATCAACATGGTTGGAGCCCCAGACAGCACGGCCTTCGAAGTCAGGGTGCTCAATATCGACACCGGTGTCGATGTCATAGGCCCAAACGCCATCACCAGCAGTATCATCATAGACATAGTCCATGTTTCCAGGCTCCTGGTGGGAGACACGGCCGAGACCCCAGGTTGGTGCGTCTGGCTGTTCGACAAGCTCGGTGAGTCTGACAACGTGGTCATGCTCGATAAATGCGACCTAATGTCGTTTAGTATTAAAGAGTCAAGGTTGCGTTCGGAAAGGTGTAGCATACATCGGGGCTCTGGGAAATATCCTTGATAGTATCCCTATCGAAAACGCCGCTGTAACCCTTCATCCGCATGAAATCATAGGTCTTCTTGATGCCGTGGTTCAACAGCGCCCGTCTTGTCAAGTTGGTGTGGTGCATGTCGGAAACCCAGGCGCGGTGGCTGCCAAAGGCCTCGCCGGAGACGCCGTCCTTCATCACGACAATGTACTGGTTGGGGATGACGTCGTCGGGGCGGCTGGGAGAGAGGATTTTTGCAGCATTGGCAGCAGATGCTGCTGCGAGGGAGAGGGAAAGAGTCTTGATGAAACCCATGATGAGAGCTGACACGAGATAGACGATTCCAGCAATGTTGGTTGATGCAATGGGTGAAGATGAAAGTAGGGCACTTCGCAGGCTTTTATAAATTCACGATACAGCTTCATCATATCATTTAAGTGAGGGATTCACCGTATCTAGCGCGGTTATTTCTGCAGCATCCACTAGCAAAGTAACCTTGCACTGGGAATAGACACCGTGGGGGGCCGTACTTGGGGAAATCATATTCGGGTATTCATGGACGCAGCATTCCAGCGCCGCAGGCCAACAATAAGCTGTAGGCACTAAGCAGCGATTTCGAAGGGTTCATCATTGACGGTTTGAGTAATAAAAGTCGCCGATGAGGTGAAACCTTGCTCAAGGATCAAACGGATGAGGGCCCAGGTCCCAATGGCTGAACAGAATAATGAGCAAGGGATCCAATTGCATGTTCCAGAGGTGGAGACAGGAGTGGTCGGCCAAGATTAATTCTTCAGATTCCGATGATCTGTGCATGAGAGAGATACAGCCGAATCCGCCATACTCGGCGACAGCACTGAGTTCAGAGACAAAGTTCATCTCCGGCCTCAGTAGATGATAAGGTAACCTTGAATTCAGGATAAGTACTCCGTAAAGATAACAAACAATAAAAGGGCAATCCCACGCTTCCAGAGCAGGAGTCACTACGATAGCACAAGTTAACACCGGAGGTGGTCTTAAAATGCCGAAGACGGGAAAAGTACAAACAAAGAGGGACATAAATCGCCGCCTAGGGGGACTCGGCTTGATCGAAGGGCATGACCGGCAGCCAGAAACCCTTGTCCACCGACTCTGTATCAATTCCTTCGGTAACATGATTGTCGATGCGATCGACAGCCAGAACAAGCGGAGAACATCAGTTTGGCAGCGGGAGCACATGTGCACTCCAGGATAGTGAGAAGGCTCCTAAGCCTTCTATGCTCCAAGAGTAGTCAGGCCGCCTCCGAAGTTCCTCAAAATTTGTAAGATCTACTCAGAATTTCCTTGAAAGATCAGTGGGCAGAACAAAGCAAAGGTGTGGGGTAATTTGACAAAGCAAGGGTAGGACGACGCTCAACGAGTCATGAGACCCTTGGGAGGCATATACACATGTAAGAGGTTCTCGGGAATTAATCTCCCGAATTCCCCGTCTAAAGGGCGGTTATTCCGTACTCCGTAGAGGGGAAAGAAATATGCGCAAGATACGGGCAGTAGCGATGACTAAGGATGCGATCTATGCCTTCAGCCAAGCGACTCAACATCTTGATAGAACCATCGATGGGCTCGAGTCAAAGATGACAGGGTATGTAGGACAAAAGCCCATGCGGCTTAGACACTATGCATATGGGGGATCCTTAAGGCCCAGAAATCCAAGCATATTACTCCGCATCCCCTGCTAGAAATGCCATGGAGCGGCAAAACATCAAACATTAGCCCCCTAACAGATGAGTGGTATACTTCGATAGACTGAAACGGCGGTCCATCGCGTCATGAAAGGCTGGCTGAATTGACAGAAACTGCACCGCGTTCCCGACTGCCAGATGCACTCTTCTTCAAGAGCATTGCGAGATGGGAATCTGATGGAACAGCGTGACACAAGGGTGGCTAAAACCACGGCGAGTGCATGTAGCTATCCAGAGAGCGGGGATAGCGAAGGATGCTCGACGCGCGTGTCAGCCCGACGAAGAGCAAGGATGTGAGTAGTAAAACGACCAACGGCAGCGCCGTCTCCAACAGGAAACAGGTCGGCGTACGTCAGTGCTCAGAAGGTTGCAGGATAAACAGATAAACAGCCGATGGAGGCCGTGAGAGCGCTGCCTGGAATCCCTGGGCCGTCGAGCGAAGGAAAGGTTCGAGGACGTCTGGAGAACGCAATCGGCGAAGAGGGCCATCCCGTTTGACGCCGATCAACGTCGTGATGGGCAGGTTCAAAAGGGCTGATCGATTGCTGGTCGACGGTCGATGAAACAGCAACAGAAAGGATGTTGGATTAAGCTTCGGACGCTAACGTCTCAATACGCCGAGTTACCCGGCCGGAAGGCCATTCTATTGGCCACGCGTAAATTAGCACCGGGGTTGCAGCATACTATTGGACAGATTTGTTACCACGTCCCAGTCGTGACAAGCGCCGACGATCACAGCGCCGTGCTTTGCTTGGGGGAAACGCGCCGACGATCCAGCTCCACTTCAGTCTCCTCCAGCACAACCAACCTGGGGGATGGTCAGGAACTCCATGCGCACCGGCATTTCATTCGCAGTCCGTCCTCGACGCCTCATGGAGATCAGGCCCTGTGGTGGGAACACACGTCATGTCCAAGCCCAACACGCGAGTCGCTCATCCCACCTGACGGAACCCTATTTCCTAAGCGACGGCGGAGCTATCAACCCCAAGCTAATATGATTATGGGGTACGGAGTACGGAGCAGACAGGCCAAAGCCAACGAAGTCCCACGTGAAAACGAAACGAATCATCTACAATAGCCGCATGCATCGATCGAAGCCCAAAATTTTCTAGAAGAAATTACCCCAGGGGCAAGGGCGGGCGGAGCGACGATCAACCCGGTGCACAATGCAACCCATCGAACCATCCTCGTAATCGGCCGACATGGAAGGAACAGAGTGCCTTGCCGGTAATAACTCGCCTTCTGTGTCTCTCATGGCTTTAAGAAGAGGACCTTGGTTGCAAATACGTATTCTCCGTGCTTCCCCAGGCGCTCCAGTTCCTCCGGGATATGCAGCTTCGCTCCTGGGGCTAGGATTGACCGACGGCACATGAAAAAAGTTGGGAGCAACCTAATTTTGATGTCTTCACTTGAGAGGAGGCCTCTGCAAGGCGCAGAGAACTTACAGATTACCGGTATTGAGAGGTTTGTTCAGAGGCCTCCCCATCGATTCATATGTCCGTACCCTCTGCAAAGATGTCGTGCTGCGTTAAATCTGGGTACGTACGGAGAGGTCGCTGCTTCTACCCATTTCTTGGGTCCTTTATCGACATTGATTATTTTCTCGAACCGCGCAAAATACAGATACCGAGTGATACGCCCGTCTCAAGCCTAACTCAATCGTCAGATTTGAACGATTCCGACTTCCCACACACACGCACATGTGCCAACCGAGAAAATCAGGTTCAACATCGTATAACGGCATCCACATCTTGTGGCTCGGCATCCCGTGGACATCTTCATTTCAAGTTGGAAACACCGAGCGTCTCTTCCATTGTGCGCAAATGCTATTGGGTCCTCCCTTCTAAAAGGGGGAAACCCTGAGTTTCTTGATGCTCTGTGATTGCTACTCTCATGCAACAACTCACAGGAGATTTAACGATCACACCACTTGCCATATATCGGGAAACAATATACCTGCGAGTTGTTTATTGAGCTCCCCCCGTGTTTGAATACCCTTCAAAGACAAGGGTCTTTCCCTGGTTTTGTTCGAATTAATACACCGCAATAGTACGTCAAATAACGTCGCTCCATTCGACGACGATTTTGAGATCGTGCCAATCACAGTACACTCAGATTATCCTTTTGCTCGGGTGATGCTATAAAAAACGAGCATGGATGCTCCAGAGGATTAATTTCTTTCGTTAATCGCGGTCTCAAATGCGTATCTGATGTTTTGCATTTAACAAAGTTAGATAGCGACAGAAATCATGTCCGAAGCCCTATTCGAGGTAAGCCTAGTGACATAGGAATTGGATAACCTAGACCTAGGAAAATTTCCGTTAATAGATTTACGGGAATGGATCTACCCGATTTCTATATCCCAGATATCCGCATCAGATCTACATCGATGTACGGAGTAGATTCATCCTAGGTTCTACTCCTCCCGGGCTGACTTCACTTATTCTTCACTTTTTATCTTTCATATCCACTGATATTCAAGTTGATGTGAGCAGCAAGAACTTATTTTTAAAGAGCGATTTTTACCTTTTCCTACAATTCTGCTTCACTGAGACTTTCTTAGCTGTTCAGCATCAGGAGGCTTCCGTGTCTAGGATTCCCTTCTTGAATATGCTAATGCGAGGACATAATCTCATTGAGTTCCTGAATATCACTGACCACAGCTAAGATCAGGAAAGCAGAAAAGCAAACAGGAGATCGATCCTTCTGTGTTGTTTGGGCTCCTATTTGTGCTCAAATCATAATTCGCGCAATCATGGCTCATATGACGGTCATCGTACGCATGCAGCAACGCCATGAAGGCCGGGACTTACGTTCGATGCAAGCACATATATAGCCTTGATTTGTCAAAACGGCTCGGGGACTTCTCAGCGTTTTGGGGGTTCGCGAGTTCAGAATAGATCTTGTGACATACGCTACCGTGTATGAAGATTTGGCACAGGGGCCCAGACTTGTGGCGGAAAGGTAATCAGCTAAAATGAACTTGTTGTGAGGTATTCGCCCAGAAAGCATATTTCAAGATGAATCGTTACTGAAATCAAACCCGTTGGATTAGGTTTTCTATGGTCCACCACCCGAAAGCGTCCTAATCTTACCTGTGCAATGAAAGACTGGCTTTACAGTTTGTTCAATTGATTGCCACATAATGTCGACTTCCGTGTGGCATTGCCTAGCAAAAGGCGAGTCAAGCACAAAGCAGCAACCAGGAACTGCCCAATAATTAAACTTAAGAATCCCCCGGCCAAAGCAGAATCTGAGTATACGCAAAAAGGTGTACGTTGAAGAATCTAGCTTAAAAGCGGACAACTCGACTTTGGGTGGTGAAACTCTGGGCATATTGAAGCTCTACAACCACTCAGTGATGAAGCAATCCCCTCTATGCTTTTAGTTGGGGCACACCTTGGAGACGCGAAGAGTCACCTGGGCTGGGAAGCATTACCCTTTGGGAAAAATTACAGACCGTAGCTTTGCTGACGGGGTTCAAGAGATACCTAAAAAAAGAAACCCGTGGCGCATTAGAGTTTTCCTCCAAATTGCGATTTTATCCCTCTCACCTCGAAAATTTAACTTGCCCATCTAGACGCCCCTTGGCGCGAG